CACTTCACAGAACATACTGTAAAAATGAATTGACTGTATATTTTGTGGGCGAAACGCGACAGGCAATTGCTGGAAAGTGCTCCGCCAATCAACTGGGTTCAGAATTACTGCCAGGTAAACAGAGGAGTGTGGAATAAGGAAACTTTTCTATCGTTTGCCCTGCCCGGGAATCGAACCCAGCTCCCCTCGCTTGCGAGGTGAGTGCTCTAACCACTAAGCTACATGACTCCGCAGTACTATGTGTTTGTGTGTTTGGGTGGTGGTGGGGGGGGGGGAGGAGAGAGCCTTGGTGACAACTTTAGCAAGACAAAGAAAGGACTTGTTATTGTGCACTCGTGATATTTTTACTTTACAAGGCAAGACACTGGTTCTCGAAAGTGTTCTTTTGATCATGCTACAAAGCAAAATTGCTGCTATTGATTTTTGTTTTGTTACTGTTTTTATCTCTAACCTAGCTTTAAAAGAGAATGGATGTCCTTTTAAAAATCAATGTGAAATCTCTATCCCAGCAATGGGAATCCCAGCACTTTTCATGTCATAATGACAATTGTGGCAAGGTCTCCCTGTGCGTACAGAATAGGAGACTCAGCCTGCATTAGAGGGGAATAACGAGGGAATCAAATGCAGTAAAACTTGCATAAACCTTATCTTTATAAATTGCATAAGCGTCTAAGTCGTACATTTATTCGAATCCCATTCAGTTTCCATTCCAATCAAAACAAAACCACAACAACAACAAATTACATGTGTATAATGCCTTCCACAGTCAGGGATCCACATCTGGGCGAGTGGTTGGTTGGGATCGGGGGGGGGGTGGAGGGTGGGAAGGTGACTAGTCAAAGAGGAGGGTCTTGAAGGAGGTAAGGGAGAGGCGAGGTGGTGGGATGGTGTTCCAGGAGGCAGAGAGGCTGGAGGCCTGCCCACCAAGTCAATACAATTCCAAGGCTTCCTGGTAATCGCACATGTGGTGATGGGTCAAGGTGCATTGAATCGCAGGAAATGTAGTCCTGACCCATCACCGCGTGCGCCCTCACCGACTGCATTAAATTACATATCCGCAATGTAGATTATTGATTAAATCGGGTTTTCTACAACTTATACAGTTTGCTGCAACTCAAACTTTGCATAAGTCACATTAAATGTTGTTTCCCGACTATTCCTACATCTGTGAGTTTTACTATTTTATAATAATTGAGGGGATAATAGGACCCCAGACACTCCATATAGACTCGGTGACTGTTGTTTCAGATGGTTTTAAACGATTTGGTTTTAATTGGACTTTCCAACAGGAACAAGAAGTTAAACATTACATATTGTGGCAAATTATAGAACTGACTCTAGGGTTGAGTTTGTGGAAGTTTGGTTTTTCGGTTATGAAATCGCTCTTTTCACCCCTCTCTGCCTGGGATTTGTCTCAACAGGGGCGAGCGAGGGTGAACAGCTGAACTAGCACGTCTGCGGGGCACTGCTGTGCGCAATTGGCTGGTAGCGTTTCACCCCACAAAATACACAATCAATCCACTCTAGAGTATATTCCGTCAAGCGCTTCGAGACGCCTCAACGACATGATAAGGCGCTGTATCAAATGCAAGGCTTATTATTATTATTTCTGGCTGTTCATGTCTAACTCAGCTGGTTATAGTGTCACGGAGATGATACAGTGCAGGGATAGGACTTCCACTTCCCTAAAATCCTTCCCCACTGAAACCATTAAGGTTGTCAAAGCCCTGGGCAGCTTGACTAGTGCTTTTAGTCCTCAGCGTTGTCCAGGTGATAGATATACAACGAATCAGAATTATGCCGCACAGAAGGAGGCCACTCGGCCCACGGTGTCTGCGCAGGCTCCTCGAAAAGAGCTATCCAAATCGATCCCGCTCCCCCCCGCGCTCTCCCCATAGCCCTGCAAACTTGTCCTCCCCAAATGCATGAACCGTGAAACATTTTTGCAAGTGCTGGAGGATGTCGCGGACCCACGTGATAGAAATAGGACGCTCTTTGGTGCTCCTTCCCCCTGGTGTTCTTAGAAGCAAAGTGGCCTAAAGCTATATAAGGTTTGTGTTAAAGTGGGGAGTTCGAGGTGGGCTGCGCGACAAGCGACACATTTACATTGTTCTCTGAACGCAGGGGTAATTTTTTTTTGCTGCTGCTGTTGTTGCACGCAGAGAAAACGAGACCACGGTTCCATGTTGACGGCTCGAAAAGGGGGCAAGGTTTTTGTTGGTTTAAATGGGAATTTACTCCCTCTGAAGGGCCTCTTTAGAACTGCGCCGCTGTGAGTAATAATGTTCCTGACGTTGTAGTTTCTCGTCGTCTTTCTTTCTTTCTTTCTTTCTTTCTTTCTCACTGTTCAAGTAGAACGTGCCAATCGCATCGTTTTTGGTCAGCCGGGTGGGTGTCTGGTACAGGCGGAAAACCCATTCAAATAGACAATCAAAAACCCCCCCCCCCCCCCCCCAAAAAAAAAACAGCCCTCTGGCCTCGATGTTGATTTCAATAATTTCAGACCATAACATAACAGCTCACCTCCCACTCTTTTGTGACCATCTGGGTCCCAGACACACCTTTTTTCTCTCTCTCTGGTCTGCCTGATTAGTTACATTCCTCCCCCCCCCCCCTCCACCCTCTTGCATTATTAACACCCATTTCCCCCTGTTTTGTGCCAATGCCCCCCTTTATTTTGCATGATTAACCCCTCTTTAACTCATCATCATCCCCTGTCCTCTACCCCATTTTCTTCTTTCTTCTTTGTTAAGTGCTTATAAAAGCCTCTCCCTCCCAACGTGCCCCAGTCCTTGACGAAGGGTCGCGGACCTGAAACGTTGACTCACTTTCCTTTCTCCATAGATGCTGCCTGACCCGCCGAGTGTTCCCGGCCACTTCTGTTTTTTGTTTCAATCAATTCACTTTGCAGTATATTCTGTGAAGCACTTTGACACATCTCAATGACGTGATAAGACGCTATATAAACAAATGCAAGGATTATTATTATTATAATAATAACCTACTTCAATTTATCCAAACCAGTGAGTTTCACGTAGGTACGCCAACTACACATGGAAGTGTTCCCGAGTCTGGAATGGAATGCGCACCGTCCCCCTGGAGATGCTTTATGTTTACCTAATTCTGCAGAGTATTCGGCACAGGATGTTAAGAGACAAAGCTTGAGGACCCCAGATGCATTTTTCTTATATACAGCGCCGTCTGGCAAGCCTCCCACCGGTTAGGAGCAATTAGGAGCAACCTATCCACTGGGGCTTTGGCTTGCCGGGTTATTTAACAGGAGCTGATGGGGAGGAATTCCTGCCCCTTATGGAGCTCCTCTGCCACTCCAAGTCTTGTCAATGATCTAGGCTGGTCGAGCAGTATCTGGCGAACTGCAGACCGCCAGAGGATTATTATAATAATAATAATAATAATCCTTGCATTCGATATAGCGCCTCATCATGGCTGGGAGGCGAAAAGCCTCACTATTGTGTTCAGTGTGTTCCAAACTAGTTTCTCAGTTGTGGTATCATTCTGATATGGTCATTTGGAAGAGGAGCATTTTTTTTAATAAAAATGTAGAAGCAAGGAATTTGCCCTCGTTATAACGTATAATGAATGGAACAGGACAAACATTTGGCTCATCAAGCCCAGTCTTCCCTAGCTTTTCCCTTCAGCACCTCGGGACGTTCTCCTGACATGAAAGGCGCTATACAAATACAATTTATTGTTGTTGGCCAAAACTCCCCCAAAATAAAATTGGTAATTCACTTCATGACTGTTTGTGGGATATTGTGGCTGTGTTGCAAATTGGCTGCTATGTTCGCCTACAAAATACAGTAAATCTTTCGAGACACTTTTCAGACGTATTGACAATGCGATTATCAAGTATCAAAGGGATTATTAATAATGATCCTTGTATCACGTCTTTGAGACGTCTCGAAGCACCTCACAGAATATCTATGGGCAAAATGAAATGTGGCAGTCAATTGTTATAATTGATTACATGTACTTAAATACTGGGGGTGTGGGGGGGTTGGGGGGGAGATGCCTTATGCTTGTTCCTCAGATTTTGATTTTCTTACAACGCCCTTGATTCCTCGTGTATAATTTCTGCAATAATCAATCCCTTGTCAGCACTGTTATACCGATCAGCCATTGACATTGACTTCCACCTTGGTTCACAGGAGATCATGAGACGTTTACGATGAACGCAGCATTTCAGCCCATTTGATCTTATCTTCCAGAATGCACATTCCTATTGTCTCCTAATACAGCGTCAAACAATTTTCTAATGGAGTCGGTGGTTTGGTGTCGTCATTTCTGTTCAAGCTATTGGTTATACTTTATGTAGGGAAATATTTTCTGGCGTTCTTCCTGAAATTAACCTTCTAACCCTACGTGCATCCTCTTGTCCTGCTGACTTGGAGTAGCAAAATGTTATTCTGGGGACATATTCTCAATCTATTTAACATCATCAGGCAGCCCCTTTGACTGTTCCTCAACTCTCTTATACTGGAGTTCATCCTTGTTGCCGCTTTTCTAGGATTCAGCGGTTTTACAAATTTTTTGATCTAGTAATGCAGAAAACAGTAAAAGTCTTATCTTTATAAATTGTATAATCACCTAAGTCGTACGTAATAATAATCCTTGTGTTTGAACACAGTGATCTTGACCGGTGTATGCTGTGCACTTACCAGCTGCATTAAATTACGCATGCGCAGTGTAGATTATTGATTACACCGGATTTTATACGATTCATACAGTTGCCCTGCAACTCGGACTTTGCGTAATTCATATTAAATGTTATGGTCCCAAATGATACCACTTATAATAACAATCCTTGCGTTTGATCCAACACCTTATCACGTCTTTGAAACGTCTCAAAGCGCTTCACCGAATATACTGGAAAGCGTGTATAGTGAAAAGTGATTCTGTGTTGTGAGTTTTACTGTATTACTTTGTCAAGTCAATATTGGGCATATTCTTTGAAGTGGTTCTCTTGTTCTTCATTCCAGTGTGTCAATTGCGGGAAAGGATTTAAGAAGCTCTGGTCGCTGCACGAACACAATAAGATTGTACATGGTTACGCAGAGAAGAAATTCTCTTGTGAAATCTGCGAGAAGAAATTCTACACAATGGCCCATGTCAGGAAACACATGGTTGGTGAGTCTCATTTTAATCATTCAACAAGAAAATAAAAACATAAGAATTAGGAGCAGGAGGAGGCCATTCAGCCCCTCGAGCCTGTGCCCCGCCATTCGATAAGATCATGGCTGATCTTCAGACCTAACTCTGATTACCCGCCCTCTCACCAAATCCCCTAATCCCTCTATTTTTTAAAAATCTATCAGTCTCAGCCTTGAAGATGTTCAGGGACTGACATCTACAGCCTTCTGGGGTAGTGGATTCCATAAGTTCACTGCCCTCTGAGTAAAGAAATGTTTCCTCAACTCTGTTCTAAAAGGCTGACCCTTAATTTTAAGACTGTTAGTCGATGGACAGATCACTTTTAGGGGATAAAAATCCTTCAAAAAAAAATCATAATTTGGTCACTCAATCTACGACTAGTTGCGGGACACCCCTGTGCACAAATGGTTGCTGCGTTTTACCCACAAAATACACAATCGGTCTACTTTACAAGTATATTCTGTGAAGCGCTTTGCGACGTCTCAACGGCATGATAAGGCACTGTCTCAAATGCAAGGATTATTATTATCGTTATTGTCGCTTCAGTGAGGATCCCGCCGGGTCTTCTCGCTTGCGAGGCGAGGTGCTAACCAGTGTGCGACGAGACTCCACAATGTTCAATAATTTCATAGTTGGCAACTTAGTGGCTTTTGCCATTCAAACACTAAAGATAGAGCAGTGTGTAAGCCGGTTATTTTATGAGATCAAGGAGCTTTTCCTATTCTCTTTGGTCCGTTTTAAAATACTTTTTTATAGTTTGTTATGCGTGTGCTGATAAATCTCTTCCTGGGGTCCATTATATCCAAGTGCAAATGCATGTGTTCACAGGGAGAATGTGTAATTAAAAAGCCAAAGGAAAGGATTTATTAATTTAGTAATTGGGTCGTCAGATGAATACTACCTTAATTGTATGCAGATTTCGAGGGCAAATTATTTGGATACAATCGGGATTTCAACGCAAAAGTTATTTATTTTTTTCATTCAGCCTTTTGCAGAATATAATCCTCCTGTAGCGCTTAATGCCAGGTTTTGCAAGACTTTCAGGTTTTCACATTCTTCCTGTATCCCTGCGCCTTGCTCCCTCCTTCGCCATCTTCAAGTCGCCCTGAAGACCTTCCTCTTTTAAGTTGTCTACGGTCACCCGGCCACCCTGCTCAGCATCTCGCTCCATCACTGTCAAGCGCTGAAGGACCCTTCCCCTGCTCGAGCGGCTCTAGATAAATGCAGGTTGTTGTTGTTGTGAGAGTTGTAGAAGAGAGTAATAAAAGGTGCTTCGCATCAGAAAAATGGTGGTGAAAAATGTCCGTTGAGATGAGTGCTAAAGCGGTGGTGGCTGGTAACCTTTTTGACAGGTGAGGCACAGTTCCTTAGGCAACCTCTTGAGTTTGCTTAACCGAGCTACACCGACGACAACTTGCACTTATACAGCGCCCTCCACGCAGGGCAGTGCCTCAGAGCGCTTAATAGTGACGGAGCCTGACTCCGAGCCTGGGGGAAGGGGAGGAGGTGGCCGTAAGCGCGGTCGAAGAGAAAGATTTTCAGGCGGGACTTGGAAAACGGGGAGAGGGGGTGGCAAGGCGGAGGGATTGAGGGAGAGTGTTCCAGCTATATCGATATGCAACGGCAATGGGCCTTTTGTGCTTGCGCAATGGCTTGGCCTCTCTCCTGTTGGCCTTTGCTCCTCTGTCGGTCGCTTTCGCCTGTTGGCTTTGCTCCCACGCTGAGCTCATGACCCTCGCTGTGAATCGTGGAAATTCTAGTTGAAACACTGCCTCACTTGCCTCATCTGGCAAGCTGCCATTGTGAGAAAGAGAGAGACAGAGAGAGAGAGAGACAGAGAGAGCAGAATAATGTTTTGAACTTTTCACCAAAGTCCAGTGATTTCTCTTGAACTGTGGGGTGTTTTGAAATGACCTGTATTCCTCTTCTTCTCGCAGCCCACACAAAGGACATGCCGTTCACTTGCGAGACTTGTGGGAAGTCGTTCAAGCGCAGCATGTCACTCAAAGTCCATTCGCTGCAACATTCGGGCGAGAAGCCCTTCAAATGTGAGGTAAGCCATGAATTTTAACCCTGAGCCTGCTTGATAAACTACAGTGAAGTGTCTGTGGTTCCCAAGCCTTCCATCCATCCAAGCGTGACTCTTTGACTTAATAATAATAATAATCCTACTATTTGATATAGCGCCTTATCACGTCTTCGAGACATCTCAAAGCGCTTCACAGAATATACCGTAAAGTGAATTGACTGTGCATTTTGTGGGCGAAACGCGGCAGTCAATTGCGCACAGTAGTTTCCCACAAACAGTCGTGGATCGAAGTGACCAATTCATTCTTTCTATAGTGCACAAAGCAAGCCCAAGATCGTCAAATATTTATTTTGCTTTGAATTCGTACCAAATTAAATGCAAAACTTTTGCAGAGCTTTAATTGTGTTTAGTTGCCCTTCCTCTGAATCAAGACAGAGAAGTGTGGTTTACCCTTTTTTAAAATGTATGTATTACCATATGTGTATTTTGCCCGTAAACTACAGTCAATCCACTCAGCAATGTGATAAGCATCTATATCAAATTCAACGATTATTATATTATTCTTAAACTTAATGGGGTCTAATAGACTTCAAGACTCGAGTTGAGACTGCTTCAATAATAATAATAATATTTATTATAAACCTTGCATTTGATTCTAATAATAATCCTTCCATTTGATACAGTGCCTCCTTATCGCTTCACATAACATACTGTAAAGTGGTGTGACTTTTTTTTAATGGGTGAACATCGGGTCCAATTTGTGCACAGCAATGTCCCACAAACAGCCATGGTGTGAGTGACCAATTTTAATTGGGGGAATCATTGGCCAAGACACAGGGAGAAACATTCCATTTGTATAGCACATCGTCGGGAGGACATCCCAAGACGCTGGACAGACAGAGCTTCGGACGTGTGGTTTGAACCGACAAGCTTGTGCCACCGTGGCGAAAGTGCTCGCAACTGAGCCAGGCTGACGCAAATATGTGGAAAGTGCTCACAGTGCTTCATGAGATTTAAATTTCAGCTCTTATCTATTCTGACGTACTATTTGCACTGTGGAGTTAATGGTTAATCTGGTACTTCGTTGGCTTTAAAGGAGGGTTGTGTTTAAGGCAATTACTAAGAATTGTAAACGCTTCCCTCTGAAGAAATAGAGATGTGATTGTTTTGTTCCTTCTCACTATCAAGTCATTAAATGAAGTAATCCCATTTCCAAGGTTTGTACATTCAGTCGGATCAGTGGATTGAGTCCACGAGAGAATAATTTTGCTCCTTGGAGCGCAACTGACTATGATTTGTGGCTGGGATTGTTATGTTGATGGTCTCTGGAGTCGTTTAAGTTAAATACCCCAAACATCTAAGAACCCAGAGGGCCTTTTTTTCTCACACAAATTATTGGTGGGAAAAAAAAGTGTGCCCTGGCAGTCTGTGTAAGAATAACTAATCCTTACATTTGATACAGCCTCTTATTATGTGTGGTCCTGTAGCGTAGTGGTTAGAGCACTCGCCTCGCAAGAAAGTGGACCCGGCTTATTTTGATTTTTTTCAGAGGTTAAATTGTCAGGCGGGAGTTTGAGCTGCAGAGAATAGTAATAATAATAATAATAATAATCCTCGCATTTGATATAGCGCTTTTCACGTCAGGAGGACGTCCCAAAGCGCTTCACAGAACACACTGTAAAGTGAATTGACTGTATATTTGTAATATTTAAGAAGAGGCTGGCGTTAAGTTTGGCTTTGCAGTGACGAACCTCATTCTAATCCTGCTGTTTTACGCTTGTGTCTCTGATCCGCAGAACTGCAACGAAAGATTCCAGTACAAGTATCAGCTTCGCTCTCATATGAGCATCCACATTGGTCACAAGCAGTTCATGTGCCAGTGGTGCGGCAAGGATTTTAACATGAAGCAGTATTTCGACGAACATATGAAGACGCACACCGGTAGGGACCCCTTTCCTTTGTCGATTCAAGCTCTGTTGTAAAGTTCGAAGGGGTCCTAGATATATTATCCTCCCGGCCCCCACCCCTTCAACGACGCGATTGTAATCCAGGAAGGTGCCAAGTTTTACACCACCATCCGGGCAGAATTAGCTGACCTTTGGCAGGTGAGGTATGAGACAAAAGAAGGGGGGAAATCAGCCGGTGTTCCCGATTGCCCTGCGGTGCCCCCTGTTGGAGAGAGACGCGTGGATCCCCGGCAAGGATGGGATTGGGCACGAGCGAGAATCCTACCTGCGGGGGCCACTGGTTCAGACGTACGGCGAGCGAGCTCTGGGCTGTAAGGACGTTGGGGAGATAGCTTTACACGACATGCGTCTACCGGGAAAGGGAAGTGGGGGGGAGAGAAAATGCCCGCAAGAAAGTCACCCCATCCTTACTCCTGCGCTGCTCACTGCGGCCTGGGAGCAGCCTGGTTGCCTGCCCGGCCTCTTGGCTGCTAAGTGAGACGCAAAAATAATCGAGAGGAGGGGTAAAAGCGTATATAATATGCAGAGTGAATCGAAACTCCTTACTCCTAGGTTTATATGTGATGTTCAGACCGCATGCCACGTAAACGTTGACACACATCATATATCCTTTAAAAATTGAGTCTTGGTAGCCAAATGCGCCGGCTTTTCATTGATCTATTGACAACGCGGCTGCCTGTGGTGGGAATAAATGAATTGCTGCTCTGCGACCAGCCTCTCACTCGGAGTGGGAGGGAATGGAGGATTAAAATAGCTGTTGTCAAAGCTAAATGATGACTTAGCGATGTGCGAACAAGCGTTGAATAAGATCGTGTTCTCACTTCAGCACTGAGCTGACTTTGCAATCGGGGCATTCGTATTCAGGCCTCGCGGCCGCTTCACTCGCATGTGGGGGCCACTGTTCATTTCTTACTCACGTAAACTCTTGCAATAGCTTTCTAAAAGTAATTCAGTCCTTAGATGTGAGTCCTGCAATCAATGTTCCAGTGTCCAACATCGATCTGGAGACTTTCCCAACCAGCTCGTCCACGTTAGCAAACGGCTCTGTCCCATCCAGCTTTGCTGTTTGTTTACACTAAAAACCTATCTGCTGTTTAGTTCAGGCGTGAGCCAAGTTATTTTTAAAATCTGTTCGTATCCGCAAACTCACCCAGAAACCAGACATCGCGGTTTGCGGGAGGGAGGGAGGGAGGGGGGGTATTGCCGGTCTGGCCTTCAGATTTTCTGCCCCCACCCTCTGGAACGCCATCCCTGAAACCCTCCGCCTCGCCCCCCTCCTTTGCCTCCTTCAAGGCCCATCTCAAGACCTTCCCCTATGACTGTGCCTTTGGCCGCATTCCCAAACCCCCAACCCTCGAACCCACTTGATTCCAAACCACAGCTGAGCTGCAAACCCTCAACCCAGCGCCTTGGGACTTCCTTCCAACGTGAAAGGCGCTGTACTAATGTAATTTGTTGTTGTGTGAAGGGCAAACCTGGGATGATCCTGGGAAATCATTCCTTTTAGGGGGTGAATGACAGCTGGTCTGGGTTACCGGGAAGGTTGCAGAAACCACTGTGCTCTTGTGAAATTGCTTGATACTATGATGGAAAGGCGCTCTGGTTTTTTTTTCTGAAATAGCCTCAATCGCAACGTAGCTGTCCGGCCGGTGTGGCCTTCCTGGGCAGCGCCTTCCCCGTTCTCACCAGCGCTCCTTGTGCAGGAGACGTGCGGTGAGTTCAATCTGAAACGCTTTCCTTTCGCCCGCAGGGGAGAAGCCGTACATTTGCGAGATCTGCGGCAAGAGTTTCACCAGCCGGCCAAACATGAAGCGGCACCGCCGGACACACACAGGAGAGAAACCGTATCCCTGTGACGTGTGCGGACAGAGGTTCCGCTTCTCCAACATGCTCAAGGCCCACAAGGAGAAGTGCTTCCGGGTCACCAACCCCATCATGGCAGACAGCAACCCACTGAGTCTGACATCCAGCACACCTCCCAACTCCAACAGCCCCCTCCTCTCTCACCCTCAGTCACACCCCCACCCCCACCCTCACCCCCATCCCCACCCTCACTCCCTGCCACTGCCTCTCCTGCATTCTCTCCCCCCTCCCCCCCACCTGCCCCCTCCCCCTCCCCTCTTTCCAGCCGGAAGAATAAACGCTAACAACAATTGAACGGCTGTGGGATTTTTTTTTAAAAAAAACGGGAGGGGAGAGAAAAAAGCGAAAGAGAGAGAGAGAGAGAGAGAGAAAGCGAGAGAGGGAGAGGCAACGAGGACAGTAGCGATCGTTGGACGCAGGCGCCAGGTCTGGTGCTGAATATATCCTGTGACCCGGAAGGAATATAAACACGGGGGCGGAACAGAACGTAGAGGACGGGGAACGAACAGTCAAGCGACCTTGAAATCATGACTGATTTACGTGGCGAGTGACCTTTTGGTGTTTTTATTTTTACAGTAAGGATGTAGACAAAAGGTTTTTTTTTCTTTAAAAAAAAATGCATCTTTCACGACTAACGGCTAAAGTCAACCAGTCCGAACTGTTTTTAAAGGCATCGGCAAATTCATTGCCATCACTAAACCCCTCTGTGTTAGGATATTACCCCCAAGCCAATCTCTGTAATGTATGCAGCATATATATTATATACTGTATATAAATATATATATATATGTGTGTGTGTGTGTGAAGGGTGTGGATGAGAAAACTATTTCCCTAAACAATAAGCTGCCCCTCATATATATATGTTCACATGTACTGACCGAGGTAAAGTGGGAGTGCGTTGTTGCCCCCTTCCCTCAACCCCCCCCACACACCCTACAATAATGTGCTATTTTTTAACAAGAGATTAGTTAAGTAAAGCAAGCTGTGCTTGTGTGTAGCAAATGTACCCATTTACTGCAGCGCATCTAACAAACGTGTGTTTTAGCCGCTGATGTACTACCTGTACGTAAGCAGGAACAGTGTTTAGCCTCCTCCTGCGCTCTCCCCCCCCCCAACCCCCCACCCCCACCCCATCTTCCCCCTCACCCCCACTGGCTCAGCACAGAGAAGCTACCGAGGGACAAGGACAGCAATTCGAACCAAGAGGGTTCAGAACTCAGAAACCAAAGATGGGAGACTGGGAAAGTCGGGCCCAGGAAGCAGGGCTGTCTTTAAGTACTTGGATTCGGGGAACTTGACACTTTACTCTCGTCCCAGTTTCATCTCCCCCCCCCCCGCTTGCGGACGTCTCGGTTGGATTTGGGGCCGACCAAACATTGCACTTGTCGATCATCGACCCGTCACTGGAAAGGTGAAAGTCGCGCAGAACTGACCTCTCTCAGTGACCGCAACTTCAAGTAAGTTCCGAGGACGGAGGCAAAGTTGGGAGCTTCCTTTCAAGAACTTTGGGTAATTGGCCCCACGGGAGAAAGGAACCACCCAAACCGAGCCATTGTACTTGGGAGACTTAAAGTTACAGTCAGTGGTTGGACAGGGGTGTAGGCATTGCAGTAGCAGTGGAGGGAGGCCATTCAGCCCCTCGAGGCTGGACTTCTTGTGGGAGATAGGGAGGAGGGATATAATGATGCTGCTAAGAGAGGTGGAAGGCCCAGCCTGATGCAGAGCGTCACTTTTATGTGGAAGAGGAGTCCTTGGACCTCAAAATGAGTCCTCTCTTTTGTCCCAGTACATTGATAGGCTCGGTGCCAGTTGTGCTCTGCACTTAAAGACTGCACGGCAAGTTTATTGAGGGTTGGCGGAAAGCCTGGAGTTCGACCACCAACAATCCACAAGAGCTTTGGCCTTTCCCCAGATATTAGAGGTTCAACTCTGGGGTTCAGTTTTTGATAGAGACCACGGAGAGAGTTGTTGCCAGCTGAGTGTGTCCACAGTAAAGCCAGGTTTGGGTCTGACCCAAAAATGGTGCCACGGACAAACCATAAGGGTTAGACGCTAAGAAAGTGTATGCGTAGAGATTTAAAAACTACCTAATGATGCCTGTTGTTAGACATCAAACTATCGTAATCATCCTTCAACTGCGATTTCAAGCAGATCGCTTGATGCAATTGCTCGTAGGCATTGCCGTAGCAGTAAGTACAGCCGCGGATCGAGAGGGTGTGCAGACATTTTTCGCTGAATGATGTGGAAAGTCGGGCAGGAAGGGCGTACGTAGAAAACCATTTGCAAAATGGGAATAGTCTTGCGGCTGGTGACGGCTTCAGTTCTGATCTCAAAAAGAAAAGGGAGTTCTCTTACTGATGGTCGCCTTAAACAGCACGAGCAAATTGAGTGCGGTACATATAAGCTGCTGAATGATAGACCTGGATCCACAGCATGAGACTGTGGAAAGTCTTCCTCCTCTCCACATGCCAAATGTTCAGCCACCTGAGCACTGCTGAGGGCTGACAAACTGTAACACACTGCTTTGAGGTGATGGGGAAAATATCAGAATGGGGCATCCCTCCCTCACCAATAATTTGCATTGGATCTATTTAATTTCGCCCACAAAATATAGTCCATTCACTTCACAATATATTCTGTGAAGCGGTTCGAGACGTCTCGAAGACGCGATAAGGCGCTATATCAAATGCAATGATTGTTATTATCTACTGTATAGGCACTTGGTGCTGAAATGGGTCTGTCATCTGGTACTCATCCACCTCTACCTCCATTCACACTCCCAAGGCAACTTGGAATATCCTGAGTAAGAGCTCACCAATTTGTTCCCCTTAATCAAACGGTTTTCTTCATTGGAATCAGTAATCCAGTATTATCGCCGTACGTACTGTTTGCCGGAGCAGGAGAACGTGGACTTGCAGTGTGGTTGGCAAGTAATAGAACCTTTTTTTTATATATATATATATCGAGATCACTCGAGTTTTTAATGTTCAAACTCCTGACTGTGCTGCTGCCGTGGTGTGAGCACACAGACAGAAGGGAGATGGTGGAGCGTTGCACCTCCTGTCGCCCAAATCAAATTGCATCCACTTTGTCACGCCTCAGCGTCCGTGCCCTTTAAACGCGCGTCTTGTACCCATGTCTGGCACCCAAACCGGCATCCTGCGCCACAAGCAAACGCTGCGCGCGATGGGGCTGCCCATAAAATTTACAGTCGGTTCACTTTACAGTGTATCCCGTGAAGCGTTTTTGAGACATCCCGGCGGCCCGATGACGTAAGGCGCGACGTCAAATGCAAGGATGTGCTGCCGTCATCCGTCGGCAGGAGCTTTGTATTTAATGCAGCTCGTGTTGGGACTTCTCCATCCCGTTGGCTGTGCTGTTCTGTGGCTGTTGAAGGATCCACTCCCATGTGCTAATAGGAAGGGTACTGTCGCCCCTTTTATAATAGGGGTATTTGAACACTAATGTAGATTTTTTTTTTAAAAAAGCATTACATGGAACAGCCTGAGTAACCATAACCACACTTTGACCTACGAGGCTTATTATTTGCAGCTGTGGTTATTCCTCTTCTGCGTATTGAAGCGGACGCGCACTACATCCTCTTGACATAGGTCATTAAGTAAAATATTATTAAAATCTTCTCCCCTCGGGATTCACTCCACTGCCCCGTTTCCCAAATAGATCACGGGGCCCTCTCGGAAGTGTCCCTTTGAAATGTAGGCGCGAGGAACGCTTTCGTAACTCGATTTCATCGGCGTAGGAAAGGAAAGGAGAGGAACCGGTTGCTTTAACCTCGAGTCCTTAGCGTTCAATTCGTTATTATTTTTTTCTCTGTCCTCCACGATCCGTGCTGTAAGCTGCAGGGCTTTCGACTCTTTGTTGCTGGCGAGTCCTCGGAAGTGAAGCGAAGTGTTTGGGAAGCGAAGTGTTTGGGAAGCGAAGTGTTTGGGAAGCGAAATGCTTTGGGAAGCGAAATGTTTGGGAAGTGCGCCGTTAATAGTCACGAGGCGTGCTTTGTTGCACTTTGTAATTTGACCGACCCCCTTCTTCTGCAGCGTCGCTCACTCACTGTAGCCGCGAGAGAAAGGAGATGTCAATTTAAGCGTTGCCGGATTTTTATGTGCTCTTATCCCCACACAGAGATTAAAAATATTAAATGAAATTTTTTTTTGAGCTTTTTAAAGAAAAAAAATAATAAAGCTGGTTATATTGTAAGACGAAAACCTATGTTCATGGGGCATTTTTTTTGTATTAAATGATGTGATGACATTTGAATTCTGCCTATTTTACCTGTCAGAAAAAACTAATAAAAGGGGCAACGCACCTTTAAGCAATATTAAACTCTACGGAGTCGTCGCTCTGATGTTTAACGTGAAGTTGAGCGTTACGATTCAGATTTGTGTTCTGCGAGTGAGAGCCCTGCGGTGATCAGTCAGTGGACCCGCGGACTTCCGTAGTCCAGGGCACAGCATCGCACGCTTGAGGGGCATCTGCTATTTCATTGGAATCCACCACCGGCGTTGCTGGTATTCTGTAGTTTGCTATGCGCGGGAGCTACGAGGAAAGGGAGGTTTGGGGGCGAACGTTTGCACAAATGCCACATATATATAAATCATTTTCACTCTCTTCCCTCTGCCCTCTCCCGGCGACCCACCCAGGACAAAATATGCAAAACCTTTCCTCCTTTTGTTCAGTAGCTCGGTTCGTGCTGACGGACTGACCTGACTGGTCGTTGGCTGCGAGAGTAGGGTCAGGTGGATTGGAGCGTCCATCTTGTGGGAATTTAGTTTCTGGGAGGTTAAGGGAGTCTGATCTTTGCCCTGGATCTTTTTTTGACCAAACTTATCCTGTTGATCGGACATCACTAAGCAAAGCGAGACCGTACAGCCCAGTGCGGCTGATACGGGGCTTGAGCGAAATTCTTGTCCTTCAGTGTTTCTTTGCCTTTCAAAGAATCGATGAACGTTTGCAGTTCTGAAGACCATTCAGCATCACGGCAGTGCCGGTGCTCGCTCTACCTTTGAACCTATTTACTCTCATCCTATTACCCTCTTTACCGATGCCCTTTAGTGTTACATTTCCTTCGAGTATGAATCAAACGTTTTATGGTCTTGGATTTCATGATCCATATGTACAAAAAAATGCAATCTTTTTACAGTACTTTCTGACTCAACAAAAATAGCCTCTCTATAAAACAGTCTCCTATTACATTCCCCTCGTAACCTCAGCTGCAGTGAGAGCAGTCTCACCTTTGTCTCCACGTAATAACTTCTTACGTGGATCTCCACAGCTGTGTGGTCTTTTTCGTGTGACGTGTCCCAAATCCAACACAATAAATACCCTGAACGCAGCCCAACCAATGTCTCAGCGACAGACTGAAGGTTACCTCTTTGCTCTCCTGTCTCCACACCCCTTAAGAATACCATTGTTGGAGGCAACAGCCGGTGGGGGGTTGGGGGTGGGGGGGTTTGAAACATTTGCTATAACCTATTAAGTGACAAATCCTGCTGCTGAGTGTAGCACACCTTGGGATTGGTGTTGTGCGGTCCGCTCGCCTCCTGACGCTCACCTGAGCAAAGGTTTCATCTGCAACTACTTTCACGCACCGGTTTTTAAAACGAGATTTTTTTTTTAAGGAAAAAAAAATTGTGACGGGAAGTTGTGCGAAGGATTGTCGGTTAACACGAACTGGAGCCTCTAACCCCTTTGGTTCGCGTCCCTTATCTCGCAGTGAATGTGCTACTCTGTTGTGTAATGAAATCATGGGTGAATTGATTCATAAAGCTTTGTTTAGGTAAGCTGTTTATAACTCTGAAATCTTGCACCTTATCCCTCGTAAATATTCATTCCTCAACCTACCACGGGGTGAGGAGGAGGAGAGAGAAAAAAAACACTGCTTTCGTACTGCAGTTTTATTCCTACTGTCTTGCGAAGAGATTTTTTTTTAAAAAAAAGAAAGCAAGGCTGAAACCGACTTAAAATGGCTGCGTAACACTGCCTCGCTCAGGTCGGGCTATACAGCTTGTTGGCGAGGAAAAAAATACTACAGTTGATAATAATAAAGCCAACGTTTAGATTGGCCACATAGTTTTAAAAGAAAAAGCATTAGGTTTTAAAAAAAAATTAAAATTTGTGCATCGGTCATAAGTATGTTAATTCTATATTTTACTACATAAACACAATGTCTTAGTTAACTTGTGTACATAGCATTAATGTAGAATGTTGTAGTCATGTGGTAAAAGGAAGAATATGTCCATAGGTGCTACAATTACCAAGTCTATATCTCGTCATTTATGTATTGCTTAGTGTATAGTGTAATTCAGGATTTGCTGTCTGTAATTCCTGAGAGAATTAAACCCTTTCATTATAATACAACCTGCTCTATGGTTTACGGATTTTTTGGGGGATGACGGTGGGAAACTGGTTTATATCTGCTAACTGGAGGCTGCTATTCTGTTTGGTTGTGTTGGAGGAAGGTGGAAATGAGAAAAATTAAATGTTTTTAAGAAAATAAATGGGGATTTCACCATACGACCGGTTTTATTTAACCCCAATTAACTCTGTAGTTGTGTTCTGTATTTCTGTATGTGACGGAGTGAACGTGTGTGTGTGTGAGAGAGTTTGAGCACACGTGTGTGTGTGTATACACACTGTCAACTTCTGTTCAAGAACCCAGAAGGATGAGCTTCTCACCAATATCCTTATTAGGTACAATTCTGTTTCCAGATCATTATCCCATTCCTTCATTGTGTTAATTTTCAGTCCTGTCTGCCCTGAGATTCTGGTGGATGTTCTGTTGATGTTTTTTCAAAAATATGGCTTACATTCTCTCCCTCATCCTACATTTAGTCCCATCACATTAGTTTGCTGCTGAATTCACTGTCTGTGGAACATTTCTGGCATAGACTAATTGGGTATATCCATTTGATTCAAATTGGACAAGTAAATTAGACAAGTACATGCAGAGGAAGGGGTATTAGAGGGGATGGGGAGGACCAGGAAATTGGGATTAGGCTGGATGGCATCTTGGAGAGGCAAACAACAAAAGAATTTCTTGCATTTGATATAGTGAGTTATCACAACGTCAAGATGTCTCAAAGCACTTCACAGAATATACTGTAAAGTGGATAGTTTGTGGCTGAGATTATTTTGGATGAGATTAAATGGGATGATGCGATCCTCTTGCGATCCTCAACGAGGCATTTCCGATGTCCCAGCAATTCGGACAACGCTCTGCTGCATAGGTTCTGATCAACTGTGGGCTTTCCCTTTGTGAATAAATCCTCACAAGCCGCTCTTCCCTCTTTCGCCCACAATTCAGTCAATTCACTTTACAGCATATTCTGTGAAGTGCTTTGGGACGTCGAGAAGACGTGAAAAGCGCTATATCAAATCCAAGGATTATTATTATTATAGAAATATTATTAAAGTGATTGCTATGCTTTTTTTTAAAACACACAAAAAAAATCCACAACAGAGAAAGTGCGGGTGAAAACTCCGCTTTGATATACAGTCACAAACGCAAGTTGAGAATGTCTTTTCGAGGGCAATCGTTTGGCCAGTGTGGAACCTTTGCACTGCAAACTCGTGCTTAAAACTTGTTCTAAAATGATGTCTTCATTTATCAATCGTCTTTTTTTAAAAAAAATGTTTCCCTCACCTTCGAGTATTTATCTTTTTACAAAAGAATACTGCAAGACCCAAAAGTTTTCCTTGCCTCGGCGCGAGCTTTCACATCTTGGTCATTCGTAAAATGTTCAGACGCACTGGGAGGAAGGTGGCTGAGGAAGCGTAGGGCAATTCTTTGAGAATCCCCAACCATTCCTTCTTGTCCGCATCGTACCTGAAAACAGAAATCGACTGTTAAAAATGACACCTCTAAATTAGTCTCTCACTTTGCAGCTTAGGTAGACAACAATAAAGATTATACTAATCCTTGCACTTGATTTATCCCTGCAGAAACCTCTCAAAGCTCTTCACAGGATTTATTTGACTGTGAAACGTGGTGACTGCTTTGCAGGCAGGCGAACACGGCGCCCATTGTGTGCACGGCAAGATTGCACAGAAAGCCACGAAGTCAATGGCCAATTTTGTCTCGGGGATTGTTGGCCAAGACACCAGGGGAAACTCCCTTCTCTTATTCAAGCAGTGCCGTGAATCTTTAACGTCCACCTGACCAGGCAGATGGGCACTTGGTTTAATGTCCCATCTGACGGATGGCACCTTTGTCAATGCAATGCTTGCCGCACCCCACCCCTGCATTAGACGGTCATCTTGCCAACGATCTTAATCAGAGAAGCCTCCACCATATCTGCGCAGTATTTCATCCTGGGCTGCCGCTTCAAGACTTACTTCCACACATCGTCGACTTCGTTCGGAGTTAATTCTCCGGACTCGGATTGCGCCAGCGTAAATCCACCAATCGCGTACAGCTGGTCCGTGAGATTGACGAGGCTCATGGAACTTCGCACTTGTGGGAATTCTGCCATGTCTTCCCATCTGCAGCACAGAGCAGAGGAAAGTGAAATTCAGTCCAACAGTAGCAGTCACTTCTATGACGCTTTGTTTCCCTTCTTGGGCATTTTTTCAAATACATATTTTATACAAGCGTTATACATATTTACCTGTTAAACCCAAGTGAAGTGACAATTTATATTAGTTCGGACTCCAAAACCTCAGTAGATTTTGCACATATCTAAACAGGAGAGGTTTTAGTATAATAATAATCCTTGCATTTGATGTAGCACCTCGTTTGGTACGTCAACGTGCCTGGCGAATAATCTGGGAAATATTGCTGTGTATAGGTTTCCCTTTCCAGATTTTCTTTTCACTTCCATATGACTTCATACATCATACACCGTTACAAATGTCCCTCTTCTTCCCCTTAAAGTAACTGATAATTTATTTTCTTGGTTTACACGTATATTAACAATAATAAAAATCCTTGCATTTGTCAGGGATTGAGTGACCAAATTGTCATTTATTTATTATTTTTTTTTACGGATTATTACCTCCGGAAGAGTGATCCGCCAATCAACTAACAACCGGGTTCCTTCTTACTGCTAGGGTAAACAGCCGCGTGGAGTAAAGAAACTTGCCTAAGGTTTCGCCTTGCCTGGAAGTCAAACCCGGGTCCTCTCACTTGCAAAAGTGTTCCAAATAATGCGCCACAGGACTCCACACAGCGCAATCTGGTACAACGCATCGAAACACACATAAGTTACGGTCTTACTTGTTTTTATCTATGTCATAAACCTCTACGGTTGCAGTCAATCCACTGTCCGTCACACCAGTTGCCACCCAGATTTTGTCTTTGTAAATAGCTGCACCGAACAGAGATCTTCCGGTTTTCATTGGAGCCAGTTCCTTCCATTCAAATTTCTTGGGATTGTACACACACAATTTCTTCAAGCACTTTCTGAAAAAGAAAAAATAAACAATGTATAACAGTTTCTCCTCCAACTCTTACTAACCTACTAACCCCGCCCCTCCTTTTCCTCACCTACATGCTCCCCATGGGGTCAACAGCCACATGCATGTGGATGACATCCAAAATACCCAATAAATTGGTCAATCAGTCCACGACTATTTGTGGGACGCTGCTCTGCGCAATTGCTGCCGCGTTTTGCACACAAATATATAGTCAATTCACTTTACAGTATATTCTGTGAAGCACTTTGAGACGTCTCAGACGTGATAAGGAGCTGTATCAAATGTCAGGATTATCATGATGTTATTACGAATCTACTTTTCCTCTATCACTTGTGATACCAGATCCGCTGATGTTCTGTTCCTTTGCCTGTCATTCACCGAGGCGTGGATGAGCCACAATTTCCTGCAACTCAACATAGATAAAATGGATTCCATCCTCCTTGGCTTCCTCCAAGGTCTCCTTACTTCTGGCCCATATCATGGCCAACACTTTGGTCAAGATAAATTGGCAATTCACTTCCCAGCTTTTTATGGATCTTTACTGTGTGCAAAACTTATGCCATGTCTGACCGCAAAATTGTTTGAGATGTTACACACATCACATACCTCATTTCCACCCGGATATTCCTATCGGCACTTACTTGTCTTTCCTTTTGCCTCCAATTGCGTACACGAGCCCTTTGTGAGACACCACACTGTGGCCATAAACTTCATAGGGAATTGGGTCAGATTCACCCCATTTAAATGTGCTGTGTATGTGGGCGGAGGAGGGGGGAGAGGAGAAGGTGAAAAAAGAGCCATCAGGATTTGTTTCAAATGAAACTATTAGAAAAAACACACCAAACATCAATTCCTTTCAAATTTTCTACCTGTTCAGGTGGATGTTAATTATCTTATGGCAATATTCAAAAACCAAAGGGAGTTTGTCTCGGTGTCATGGCCAACAATCCCCCAAGTAAAATAAAGCTTGACTGTAGTATCACCACTAAAATGTGTAGGACACTGCTGTGTGCAAATTGGCTGCCAAGTTGACCTACAAAATACTGTCAGTAAACTATACAGTACATTCTGCAAAGCTCTTTTGAGACATGAAAGGTGCTCCATCAAGTGAAAACCTTATTATTTAATTAAATCCTGGAAAGTACTTTAAGACGTCTTCCTGGTGTTAAAGGCGCTACAAAAAAGGGTTATTTATTTATTTAAATAACTCCTAGGAAGTGCTTTAAGTCATCCTCCTGACGTAGAAGGCACTGAAGTGCTTTAAGTCATCCTCCTGACGTAGAAGGCACTGAAGTGCTTTAAGTCATCCTCCTGACGTAGAAGGCACTGAATCAATCATTGGATGTTAAAAGATTCCATGGCAATATTTGAAAAGAGAAGGGTGTTTCTTCGGCCAATAATTCCCCAGATAAACTTCACGCCTCTTTGTGGGACAAACAGATGTGCGCAAATTGGCTGCCGCAGTCACCTAGAAATTACACTGAACCCCGAACGTGTCAAGCGCTTTCAGATGTTTCAATGATATAAGACATGATATCAAATGCAAGGATTATTATATTCTCTGACCCTATTTACAAAGCCTAGGATTCTATTAGCTTTTTTCTTAAGAAAAAGCACAACTTTCTGAATTTGCCCTCAACAACTTCGATAACAACGTGTATTTACATAGAGAGTCCTCCCACCGGTAAAAACAAAAATGTGTGTATTGAAAACCTGGCACTATTACCGGGGCCTAATTTCTGGACATATCGAGAAGAACTTACTTTCTGTCGTAGCACATGACAGAGTCCAGTGTTTCCTCCCCTTCTTTCAGTTCCTTTCCCCCAATAACATAGATGGCGTTGTCAGCTTCGCCCAGGCCAAACAGACAGCGGGGCATGGGCATAGGAGGCATCCCGAGCCAATCACAGTCCAAAGGATCGAACTATTCATGCACAAAATGGCACAGATTTAGTCACGTGAGAAACAAAACTTCCAAAAAGCCAGAGTTAGGGGAGACCAGCAAAGGAGGGTATGAAGGAGAAACTAGAGTGTGATTAAAGTGCTCACTGGTTGGGTGAATTTGAGAGAGAGCGAGAGAGGTCGAGGAGGTCAGAGCGGGAAGAAAGAAGCCGATGGCGGGAGTGATAGAGGATGGCTTCAGTCTTATCCGTGTACATCATATCCATCTACACGGCACACGCCAATGTTGGATTGGACACTCAGTAACACGCCAACACGGCACACGTCACTGACTTGGGTTAAGACACTCAGGAGCACATCTAAACTACGCACAACACACACAGACAGGTTCAGCAAACACGGCGGGTGACACACTCGGCAACACGTCGAGCGCTAACAGCTGGAACACTGCATCTCAGGGATCATAGGATACAGGTTTGGGTCGGGACACGTCAGGCCACCAGCCCCCTCCCACCACCATCATCCCCCCACACCGCCCCTCCCACCACCATCATCCCCCCCACACCGCCCCTCCCCCCACACCACCCCTCCCACCACCATCATCCCCCCCACACCACCCCTCCCACCACCATCATCCCCCCACACCACCCTCCCACCACCATCACCCCCCCACACCACCCCTCCCACCACCATCATCCCCCCACACCACCCTCCCACCACCATCATCCCCCCCACACCACCCCTCCCACCACCATCATCCCCCCCACACCACCCCTCCCACCACCGCCCCTCCCCCCACACCACCCCTCCCACCACCATCATCCCCCCACACCACCCCTCCCACCACCATCATCCCCCCACACCACCCCTCCCACCACCATCATCCCCCCCACACCACCCCTCCCACCACCATCATCCCCCCACACCACCCCTCCCACCACCATCATCCCCCCACACCACCCCTCCCACCACCATCATCCCCCCACACCGCCCCTCCCACCACCATCATCCCCCCACACCGCCCCTCCCACCACCATCACCCCCCCCACACCACCCCTCCCACCACCATCATCCCCCCACACCACCCCTCCCACCACACCACCCCTCCCACCACCATCATCCCCCCCACACCACCATTCCCCCCACACCACCCCTCCCACCACACCACTCCTCCCACCACCATCACCCCCCCACCCCCCCCCACCACCACCCCCCCTCCGACCACACCACACTTCCCACCACCCCTCACAACCCCCCCACCAGCCCCAGCCCCCCCCCCCCCCCCCGTTACCTGCAAGAAGAAGGAGCTGAGCGGCTCCTCCTGGCTCCCCTCGTCGTAGTACAGGCCGCCGGCCACGAACATCTGGTTCCCCGCCGTCACCAGACTGCAGTGGTTGCGGGGCACCCGGGTGGAGGCGGAGGCCAGGTAGCAGCAGTTGCCGGCGGGGTCGTAGGCCACGGTGGCCTCGCTGTTCACGATGAGGATCAGGTCGGTGGTGAACATGCCGAGGCGCAGGGTCCGGTTGGGGAACGGGACGTCGCCCTCGCCCTCCCCTCCATCCTTCCCGCTCTCCTCCTCCTCCTCCTTCTTCTTCTTCCCCTCTCCGCCTTCTTCCTCCTCCGCCTCCTCCGCCTCCTTGGCCACCCTGACCTGCCGGATCCTCCCCAGCAGCTCCGGGTGCGGGGCCAGCAGCGGGTCGGTCTCCACCCGCTCCCTCAGGTAAGCGGCGGGCAGCAGCCGGAAGCGGACGGCCTCGAGCACCAGCGGCAGTTCCCGCTCGAGCTGGAGCTGGCGCTCGCGCGCCTGCGCCGAGGCCGGGGCCGCGTGACCCTGGCCCTGCGCCTGCGCCGAGCCCGGGTCCGCGTGACCCTGCGCCTGCGCCGAGCCCGGGGCCGCGCGAGCCTGGCCCTGCGCCTGCGCCGAGGCCGGGGCTGCGTGGCCCTGCGCCTGCGCCGAGCCCGGGTCCGCGGCCGCGTGACCCTGCGCCTGCGCTGAGCCCGGGGCCGCGCGACCCTGCGCCTGCGCGGGCCGGGCCTGGGCCTCGGCCTGGGCCGGGCCCGCCCCGCTCGCGCCCTTCCCGCCCTGGCCCCGGGCCCAGCTCGCCACCGCCTCGAACACCTCGCGCTCGCTCTCCACGTCCAGCCCGTCGCCGGCCGCCAGGGCGCTCAGCTCGCCGGCCGACAGGCCCAGGAACTCGGCGTCGCGGCAGACCAGGCCGAAGCGCTGGCCGGCGAAGTCCCGGGCCGCCACGGCCAGCCGCGGGCAGTCCAGCAGCAGGCCCAGCTTGAAGACGGCCAGGCAGTTGCCGAGGCTCAGGCGCTGGTGCAGGTAGGAGACGCAGAGGGTGAAGGCGGACGGGATCTGCAGCAGGTTGGCGGCCGCGAAGACGCCCTGGACGTTGGCGTCGCTCAGCTCCACCTCCGAGGTGTAGAGGTAGCGCAGGAGGGTGGCCATCACCTCGGGCTCCACGTGCTCCACGGTCACCTCCAGCCTCCCGGCCCCGGCCCCGGCCCCGGGCTCGGCCTCCTCCCGCTTCGGCCTCTCCCCGTCCCCGTCCCCGAGGAACAAGGCCCTGAAGTGAGCGCTGCAGGCGGCCAGCACCAGCCGGTGGCAGGGGAAGGCCTGGCCCTGGACCCTCAGCACGCAGTCCACGAACCTGTCGTTCTCCAGCAGGTCCCGCAGCCCGTCCTGCAGCAGCGTCTGCTGGTAGATCCGAGGCTCCTCCGAGGGCTCGATGGGAAGCGCCATCTTTTCAGAGCGGCCCTGAGGGTGGGTGGGTCTGGGTGTGTGTGTGTGGGGGTGTGTGTGGGTGGGTGTCTGTGTGGCTGTCTGTGTGGGTGGGGGTTGTGGGTGGCTGTCTGTGTGGGTGGGGGGGGGGTGTGGGTGGGTGTCTGTGTGGGTGGGGGTTGTGGGTGGGTGTCTGTGTGGCTGTCTGTGTGGGTGGGGGTTTGGGAGAGAAAGAGTTGGAACAAGTAAAGCGAGAGCTTTGCCTCCTGGTCTGGTTCGGTTGGTCCTGAGACGCCTGTGCCAGTGAGTGTGAAGGAATTGGAGCCTCTGCTGTCTCTCCTCTCCTCTGTCTGTCTGTCTGTCTCTCCTCTCCCTCTCTCTCTCTCTCACTTCATGTCAAAGGTTTTCCAGTTGAGTTTATAAATAGTAACACTAAGGGTTGGGGTGGGTGGGGAATGCGGTCAGTGCATGTGGGGGGTGGGGGGGGGGGGGAACACGATCCTCAGCTCAGGCTGGTTGAACACATCAATCACTCAAGGTCAACAACTGGTGGAGCCCAGGAGATGGACCAACCTCTCCCCATATAGCACGTTATCGGGGAGTGGATCATTTACTGGTGAGGTAGCCAGCCGACAGACTTCGTTTTTTTTGGGGGGGTGTCAGCCGGGTGCCTTGACACATGCAGAAACCCATCACCGTGTTTAAAGAGTATCCAAACCAAACCGAGATTTCCAGGCATCCCACCTACACGCGGAAATGCCAGAGATAGATTGCTGGAATGGAATGCTCTCTCTCTCTCTCTCTCCCCCTCCCCGGAGGGAGCCATCCCGCTTACCGAATTCCGGAAACTATTAGGCGCAGGTTGGCATGAGACAAGACTTGGGGGACCCCAGAAGGTGCGTCGGGGTGCTGGAGTCTAACCAGCTAAAACCGAATAGCTTGCCATTGATATCGGCGTCTGGCAAGCTTTTACGGGTGAGGTGCCAACAGACTGGAAGCGAGTAAATGTTGTTCCCACATTCAGGAAAGGTTGACAGAACCATACATGGTGCCAATTAACCCGACTTCAACAACTGGAGAAATGATGGGAGTGAATCATCAGGAACTAAATGGAAAATTATTTGTATAAAAATGATCTAATACAATCCCATAATGTTAAATCGCCAGGTGGTATGAAGACTGAATGATCACTGCCCGTGTTGTATGAGGTAACCTGGGTATATTCATAGTAACTATCTCAGTGGTATTCCCGGACTCTGCCAGCGAAGCAACTAAATATAGGACAATCCACGGCCAGTAATGCCATTCGAGATTTGATATTCCACATGGGAGTTAATTGTCTTCCACGATTTTATTCATGATCCTCTAGAAATTCCCAGAGATAGATACTTGAAATGTATGGGTGTTAAGGTGGGGACAAGGGATTAAACGATCTGTTATAGTCTAATAAACACTTGGAATAGGCTCGATAGGCTGAATGGCCTCTTCCTGTTCATAATTTCATAATTAAGGAAATCTGTAGTTTCCTCTTGACACACGTTGACACGTGATTAGCCCAGACTGCCGGTGAACCCCAAATCGGTTCTGATCTATGTATACATAGAGATTTGAAAAAGAATAAACAATTTGAAAAGGTCAGTGAGGTTAGCAGGATTTCACACCACAAGCAGAATGCCTGGCTGATTGTGCCTCTATGTATAGCCGCTGAGTGCAATACTAGGTCAGCTCGAGGTCAGTAGTTATTTGCTCTCTCAAAAATATACCTCTCACAGGATTGACAAGATTACTGACAACCCAGGAACAATCTGGAAAAGTGGTTGTGAATACAAGGGACCATGGAAGCAGAAAAGGCCAATCACCCTATTGCCAAGTCTATTCCCTTCAAAGATCGAAGACAATCCACCCTTATCGAGGACTTCATGTTGTGCCCTGAGGAAAGTTGCACAGAGCTCTACCAATATTCTTCCCTACATCTCCAATAGTCCATTCCTTCCTCCCCCCCCCCTCTCTCTCTCTCTCTCTTGGTGTGCTGGTGAAGAATCCATCAGATAAAATTGGTCATTCACTTTGTCGCACTGGTGCCTTCGCCTACAAACTACAGTTACTGTACAGTAAATCCTGTGAAGTGCTTTGAGATATCTCAATGTTGTGATAAGGCACTATATCAAATGCAAGAGTTATATTACCATGTACATTTCTCTAACTCTTGCCTTTCTCTTTTTTTCTTTCTCTTTATCTCTCAGACCCTTTCAGGTGAGAAGATGGGAAAGAGAAAAATTTGGCAAAGAAAGAGAAACGTGCAAAAGTTATCCAAATTTATTCTGACTGTTGGCTGTGCAGAATGTAACGGGAACATAAATGGATAGATTATTAACGGGCAGCTTTGTTTAGGGAAAGAGCTGTTTTTCTTTAAAAAATATTCTGCTCCATTTCTTTCACCTGACCTGAAGCAACACAAGCCAGTTTTATCAGTGTTTTCAAAGGCTAAAACACTTCCGGGAAGGGTGGAACAGTCGATCCCTGGTTTAAAAGGTTGTGGGTTCAAGCCTCCACATCAGGACTTCGAGCTCACAGTCTAGGTTAACTCTCCAGCGCATTGCTGGGGAATAACCCAAGGATCTGATCTGTCTGTTTGTTCTGGTGTGTGGACTTCAAAGATATCGAAACACTGTTTAAAAAGCGAAGGAAGTTTATCCCGGTGTCCAGGCTAACAATTCCCCCAGACAAATTGGTCACTCACTTCATGTGGGTAAAATGACTGCTGGGTTTGCTTACAAACGCAGTTAGTACACTTGACAGCAATTTATTTAGAGGTAATAATATATGCCCTAATAATATAATGTAATAATATAATAATCCTTGCACTTGAGGAGCGCTTTGGAAAAGTCCAAGCAGGAAAACTGTAAAGAGCAGTTACTGTAAAGAGTATTGTGTAGCCAAACACGGCAGGCAATTTAGCACAACAGTGTCCCACAGAACACAATGAAGTGAATGACTAACTTTATTTGAGGGATTGTTAGCCACGACTCCATGAGAAACTCCTCTTTTCAAATATTGCCACATGGATTATTTAAGGTTCTTTATTGAGTCCCAAAGTGGAGCTTGAACCCAGAACTTGCTGACTCAGACGCTAGAGTGCTGCCTACTGAGCCAGGCTGACATGCACAATATGGAGCAATATGAAATGTAAGGTTATTATTCAACCAACATATCTTGCAGTGTGTTCTGTTTCTCACCCACATTAACACCTTATTCCCTGGGAACTGCGCAGTGTATAGTTCAACATAGCAGCTGAGGGTCCCAGTTATTTGGAAGAAAAACATGATCTGTAAAACTGCCTGATAGAGGATGCTTGGAGCAGAAATGCCTGTTCTTGATTCTATTCTTAGTTGCAGACATTCAGTTGTTGTTGGACCTGATCCAGTGCTCATCTGTCTGATCTCCAGTGACTGTAAGCAACGTCTGTTCCCGTTTCCCCCCAGCTGAAGATTACGGGAGTTAATGTCAATTCAAAGGTCAAAGGAATGAGCCGTTTCTTCACTAACTTACGAGAATCAGCCTGGACTTTAAAAGACAGGAATGTCAGTAATTCAATTTTGCCTCTCACACTGTGACAAACATTGGAGGTTGTTCCAAAGTCCCGTTGACTCATGAATGCCCACTCATCCTTATTAAGTAAAATATTCTACGTGATGTGCTAATTACCCCTTTTAAAGTTGAAAGAAAATACTTGCATTTTATAATGCCTACAACGTACTTTACATAAGAACATAAGAAATGCTAGATGAAAAAAAGACCATCGTCCATCTAGTTCACCATCCACCTTCCTGGCGGTCGCATTAAATATATTTACTGCAAAGTGATTACTCTTATAGGCAAACATGACAGCCATTTTGTGCACAGCGAAGTCCCGCAAACAGTCACGGTGCATAACTGATTTTATTTTGATTTTGTGGCGATATCACCAGAAGAAACTCCCTTCTCTTATTGAATAGTGTTGTGGATTCCTTAACATCCACCTTAACCAAGCAGACAGGACATCTCATTAACTCTCATCAGGAAGAAAGAACCTGTGACAATAGAGCATTCCAGCACTGCACTGGAATATCAGCCTGGACTGAAACCTTAATTCCCAACTTGGGGGCGTGAATCCACAATCTTTTGACCAAAAGGCAATGCTGCTGCATTCTCACATTGTAATAGTCCTCCGTGTAGAGAAATGTTCTTTTCGCAAAGGAAAGACAGTTTCATCTGAAAGTTGTTAACAAGAGTTTCAGTTGAAGAAGACCCATTTGATCTCATCCTTCCAGAATACCCTCCTCCCTGCCACCCTCTCATTACAGCTTTTGTCACAGAAATGCTCCCAGGCATTAGTCTTAAACTTGTTCGGCATAGTTCTGAACATGCAGTCTTCTCACCTGCTGCCTTATGTTATCTGGACAGCTGCAGCCACCTTGGCAAAAATCAAGATACACTGGAATATTTATTTCTTGTTTATTTTCATGTTTGCATGAAGCACCATTTAAAATTAAAGACTTGAACAGCTGAGTCTGAGAGATGAAGCTTGGCAGCGAGCCACCCTTCACCAATACTCGTGAGGTACAGCGGATTTTGACTCTCAAAAGACTCCCAATAAATAAATAAAGCTTGAGAATGGCCAACCAGGGGGCAGGGGGTGAGGGGTGGTATATTGGGACATAGAAAGAATACAGTCAGTTCTGTGATATCCCAAGTCTTATCAGTTTCAAAGAAACTCAGGCACACAAACTTGGGTTAGCCCAAATAGGCACATTCTAAAATTTGTCCCAAGCACCAATTCTTAGGATCCTTACATTTGCTAAAGAGCCTTTCACATCAGGAGGCCATTTCAAAGCGCTTCACAAGATTTACTGTAAAATGTAGTGACTGGTTTTAGTAGGTGAATGCCACTGAAGTGCAGTGCATAGCTTAAAATTTGTGAGACAGGCTGCCATGGAGAAGAGAAGGGGAGAGAAAAGAGGGAAAAGGGAGCTTGAGTTTAAATTAATACTGTTAGGTTATCCAAAGGATGCAAATTAAATAAAATTACTAGTGCTTCCATAAAGGAGGGGGTATTCTCTTTTCTCTCCCCCAAGGCAATGAGGGATGACAAACCCCACCACAACCACCATCCTCTCTTGTCTTTGTTGCACCTTGTGACTGACATATTTGGTAAATGTTCAGAGGAAAGGTCTTGTCTATTTTCCACTTCTGGCAACTATTGAACCTTCTCTTTCTCGGAGTCCAGAGCCAGCTGACGCTCATGCTCCTTGATGAGCTGCACGCCACAGTAGGTGATGAACAGGACTCCCAGTGGGCTCAGGGGGAAGCCTGGGGAGCGAGAGAGAGAGAGAGCAGAGGGACAGCTATCAATGCAGGGCTTGATATAGACGACAACAAATTACATTTGTATAGCACCTTTCAGCAACGCTTGGTGCACCTCGTGCTCATGATCCAGTAATCTGATCCACGTCATTACTCAAGAATGGAAGATGGGATTAAAGGAAGCTCAGATATTATCAGTAATTGATGGAATCCACCATCAGGACAAAATAATTGAGTACTCAATAATAATAATATAATAATAACCCTTGCATTTTATATAGCGCCTTATCACGTCTTCGAGACATCTCAAAGCGCTTCACAGAATATACTATAAAGTGAATTGACTATATTTTGTGGGCGAAATGCAGCAGCCAGTTGCGCACAGCAATAGCCCACAAACAGTCGTGGATCGAGTGACAATTTTTTTTTTTTTTTGGAGGGATTATTAACCTCGGAAAGCGTTCTGCCAATCGACTTAACAACTGAGTTCCTACTTACTGCTGGTAAACAGAGGCGTGTGGAGTGAGGAAACTTGCCTAAGGTTTCGCCATGGAATGTGCATCTGGAGGGATGCATCTCGCTTACCTAATTCCAGAGCATTAGGCACACGTTGGTGAGAGGTATGGCTTGGGGACCCCAGAGTGTCTGCGACTCTCCCAAAATCCCTTCACCTTGTTTTTACGTTCAAATTCTGCCTTAAGATATCCCTCTTTGACTGCACTTTCAACCACCTAGTTACCCCTCCCCCATCTTCCTCCCGGTTCAGACTAGTGCTCCAGTCTCTGTAAAGGATTTTGCGATATTCTCCATAAATGAAAGGCAAGTAAAGATAAGTGCAAATTGTTGTTGCTGCTGAAAGACAGACTTGAATTGAACCCTGTTGCACTCCACCCTGCAGACACATACCTTCGATGATTAGCCGTCTTGCCACCACTAGAGCGAAGTCGAGACTGTTCAGGGCAAGAATATTATAAAGAATGATGGCCCAGAAGTTTGCAGCCCCAAAGACTCCTCGGATTCTCCGAGACATGGATTCGGACAACTTGTTAGCCTGGAGGGGGGGTGGGTGGGGTGGGGGGGGTGAAAGAGAAACCGATATCACACCTCTCGGAAATCTTAACTAAATCCTCTATATTCTCATCAAGTATCACTTTTTGGGAATGTTTGGGAGAATGTTTATAATCATTCTGATTGCTCTGAAAGCCTAAGAAAATAATAATATTCTGTAAATTAGTAATAGTCTGTAAAAGATCAGCATTGTCTTAAGTTTAAGCTCGCGTGGAAGTGGAGAAAATGCTCGATTTAAGTCTTAATTTGGAAGCTGTTTTGTTTTGCTGAATCTTCAATCATGTAACTACAATCTGACAAGAGAATTCCACATTCAAAACAATCTCTGCGTGAAGAAATATTTTCTAACCTCTGCTTTAATTATTTCATTACCAACGACAACTACTAGTTACTCCAATGTAATCCTGAAGAAGAAAAAAATACAATGTCAGCAGGTCACCCTCTGGGCTGTAAACCCCTTATTACCCAGTGTCTACCCCATCGCTCTTCACACATTCCAATCAATTCTGCCTCTACGATCTTCTGGGGCACTGCATTCCACTTCAAATAGGTTTAGATCTGGTTTTAAGACTGAGTCTCTTGACCAGCTGAAAGCCACAAGAAGAAGGCCCTTTGGCCCATCTGATCTCAATTCCCACCTCAATCAATCGACCCTCCCCAACCTCCTCAGCTCTCCCTCTGGGTAGTGAGTCAGAAATTCCACTCGGATCCAGATTTGTTCTGCTTTCTTAGGCTTTCAGAGCGATCAGAAGTTGACAAATTGCTGAATTCATTATTGAACTTTGAATAGAGGTTTCACGCAATTCTTAGAGGAAAATTGGCTTCAAGAACAAGGCTGCGTTTAAAAATTTATCAAATTACACACTCAGAAAATAAGTCTCAGTTTGGAAGCTGCTACGTAAACAGGGTAAATCTATGTGGAATTTCTCCTCCTTGGTAGTTTCCAACCAGGCAGGACTCACCTCAATTGAAGCGAATGGCTCCCGCTCAAAGAATTTTTGCACCCAGAGTTCAAAGTTGAGGCCAAAGCAGTTGCACACAGACCAGATATAGACAATGTCGCAAGGTCCCAGCCAGAGGGTAGTGACCAGGAATGTGCAGACTGTGGCTAATAACTCCTTTCCGATGTTGTCGTGATTCTCTCCTAAATAGTCATAAACGTATCTGAAACATCAAACGCGGTGGTGCTGTTTACATGGCTGGACGTCGAACTGCATGTCAATAAAGATTTTTTTTTCTCTCTTTTTTTCACAGATATACAACAACGATATCCAGCGTGCTCCAAGCCGGGCGGCGTCCCAGAGCGCTTAACCTTCACCACTTCCTTCCAGTTACTTCCCCCAACCTGGTAACTCCTCAAAGCACTGACCTGTCCTGGGGCAGATAGGAACAGGTGGCAGTGTGACGATGAAGCCAAACAGAGGTTAGCAGGCTGTTTTGACCAGAAGGGGGAAGTGTAGCCAAGCCCTATCCTGCTCTCATCTGGCATCCAGATCAACTAACTAGCGCAGAGGATATGGGCTGAATGGCCTTCTGTGCTGTGATTTTTTTTGGTTCTATTTTCTTAGTATTTCCAGAGTTTCCAGGCAAATTATTGAATCCAGTCTTAACTTTGAAGTTTCTTTTTAGAAGAACTTGCAGAAAACTGTAGTTGCCCCCTTCTGCAGGTCGCACCTGAAGACTTTCGTCTTTGACCGTGCCTACAGTCATCTCCCCGGCAACCACTCAACCACTGTCAAGCACTCCGGGACGCTACCCTGCGTGAGGGACGCTATATAAATACAAGCTGTTGTTGTTAGTTATGAATTTGCCAAATCTGGTAGCTCTGGAATGTTACACGACTCGAGTAAATCTAAACCCAAGTGGCATTCTCCCAACTCTTTAATCCTACTTCTCTGCCCTCCCTCTACAGCCTTTTATATTTTCCCTTTTCAAATATATGGATTGTGCCTCAATGAGTTATTTCGGTAGTAAGGCGTGCTATTAATTTAATGCCAGCTCTGTGGGTAGCACTCTCACGTCAGAGTCAGAATTAAGCCACAAATCGTGACTTTGACTTCAGTCTTCAACAACAACAAATTACATTTGTATAGCAATTCTCACGTCAGGAGGACGTCCCAAGGCACTGAGTGCTGGAAGAGCCCTGCCTCTCTCCCTCCCCTCCACCTGTGTTATCGTGAGGTATGATAGCCAGTTTGACTGTGAATGCAACTCACTTCCTGTGTGCCTTATTCTCGTTTAGAATTCAGAATAAATTCTCTCCCATCAGTTGCTTTCCTCAATGGGTCCAAACTTGAATGACCATGATCCGACTCAGCCCAGCTCCAAGGGCCCAGGATCCCATGGCACAAAGCAGAGTTAAGAGAGAGAGACCCTCATTACTTACTTGCACAACCAGTCGTTTATCCCTCTGTCAAAATGCCTGAAAGACAAATGATAGAATAAAACGACAAGCATTTATCACTTTTTTTTTTACACTCCCGTCTGTGAGCCTTTCTCCCACGTTATACAGTGCTCGCCTTCCTCATCCAAGCTCACTTTGTTCTTCAGATAATAATAAACCTTGCATTTGATATAGTGCCGAATCATGTTCATTGAGATGTCTCAAAGTCCTTCACAGAATATACTATGTGTTTGTGGGCAAATGCAGCAGCCAATTGTGCACAGCAGTATCCCACAAACATTTGTGGATTGAGCGATTTTTTGTTTGTTGTTGGATGGATTTATTCCCCACGGAAAGCGCTCTGCAATCGACTAACAACCAGGATCCTGGATAGGAATCACAGAAGTTGTGGAACTGGACAGTTCCAATGGCCTTTCCTTGTTCCACCACCTTTTATTCTCTTGCGTCACAAGAAGACATTCAGCCTTGGCCTGAGTATGAGAAAGAAGCCATTTTCTGAATCCTGAACTTACGTTTCAGCGAAGACGTAGAGCATGGTGATGCACTTGGGCGGTTGGGGTGGATCCAGGTAGTCAAGTCTGGCAACCGTGCCGATGACGCCAAACATTACTGCTGCCTTCACCCAATCGTATACCAGGTTCAAGTAGGCTAGGCAGGCTGGGATTGCATTTGTGGCAACAGGCAAAGGGAGACAAGATTCAGCATGAGAATTCAATACTGCATAATTTGTGAGTCATGTGCGCACTGCGTTGTGTGTGTGTACGTGCACACTTCTTATCAGGAGTACTCAGCCTGGCTTAGTTGTTAGAGGGTTGGCTCTGGCTCAGAACATTGTGGGTTCAAGCCCCATTTCTGGACTTTGAACTCACAGTCTAGGCTGATGCTCCAGCATAGTACTGGAGAGTGGTGGGGGGCTGGGGGAAAGAGGAGACGCACCTAATGCCCAGTCAGAGAGATTCAGGACGAGTTGCATGTCTGAAGGTATGGCCAGAATGTACAGGTAATGGAAGAAGATATCCACTAGGATGATCACGACGAGATGGACGAATGCGTACTTCTGAATGTTCCACATTTCATCCGCCTTACGAGTGAAGTGTCCCTTGTTGATCTGTAGCAGAAAGAGGCCAAAATGAAACACAGTCAGTCTCCCCCCCCCCCACCACCCCCCCAACAGCAACAGAAAGACCAGACACAAAAATACAGGACCTAAAATTTACAAAATAAAATCATCACTTCAGGGTAAAAACAAAATGGCAAGTGCTAGAAACCCAAGTGTTCCAAACCACTTATTTGTAGAAGGACACTACCATCTGGTATTCCTTAGGAAATACCACAAATTTTACCCATGGAATCATAGAAATTTACAGCTCAAAAGATGTCCATTCAGCTCTTCAGGTGCTGTCATTCAAATGAGATATTAAACTTAGGTCTTGTTTGCCTCTTCTTTAGATGGATGTTGAAAGATCCTGCAACACGATTTGAAAAGCAGACCCAATTTCCAATTGTTTTTGCTCTATGGTTGTTTCATTGGATCTCAGTGGATGCCCAACAGGAGGGAGCCTGGTCCCAATTCCCTTCAGCACTCACCTGAGCGTAGAACTGATCGAATGTCATCACAGGCCCAAAGAAGAAGAAGGGGAGATAGAAGTTGTACACAAGGAGGTCGAGCAGCGAGTAGTGGCCTTCCTTCCTCTCTGTGTTCTCCAGGGCAAAGCTCATACATCGCATGATTGTGAAGCCACTCCCCCCGTAGAAGAGGATGTCCTGCAGCTCAAATGTTCCTATCACAAAACCATTCTAGAACAGGAAAGTACTTATTACAGCATGATTATAACCATCTCGGTGTCAGCCTGGCTCAACTAGTGGCTGCCCTGCGTAAGGGCCGCGAGATAAGTGCAATGTTGAATCAGAAGCTTGTGGGTTCAAGCCCCATAGCAGGACTTTGTACTCGTAAATTTAGGCTGGTACTACAATACAGTGCTGGGGAGCGCTGCATTGCTGGAGATGTCATACTTTGTCAGTCTGACTGAGCTCAGTGTTCCGATATGTGGTTTTAATCCACACCATTCTGACAGATGCGAGAGTGCTATTAACTGATTCTTACTGTCACCTATAGGTGTAGGAGGAGGTCAGTCAGGTCACACCATCAAGTTAGTTATATAAATGTATCACAGAGCACGACTATCTCAGTGTGATTCATAGAGATGGAGTGTTGACCTGAACAGGGTGAGATGCGCGGGTGGGGTATAAGGAGGCCAATAACCAAACAGGTCGGTATTTAGAAGGGTTTTGAAAGTAGAGGGGAGAGCGTGAGGTAGAGAAGTTTTGGAAAGAATTCTAGAGAGATGGGGCATCATGGCTGAAAGCTTGGTCATCAGTGATGAGGGCAACAGTGACGGAGGAGAGCATGCTCCAGGTTGAGTTTGTGGATTGGAGGAGTAGGGTTGGACAAAGATGTAGATGCAATCGAAAGAGGATCCTGAAATCAATCCTCTAGGGGATAGGCAGCGAGTTGAGCCTGGTGAGGATGGCAGTGGGGAAAGAGACAGGCTGCAGAGTTCTAGATAATCTGGCCCTTCTGAAGGTTTGGGTGTGAAGACCGGCACGGAATATATTAGCGAAATGAAGGCACTAAGGTGGAGGAAAGCAGACTTGGTGAAGTTAATACGTACCTGCCAAGAGCTGAATGGCTCCAGTTTGAATGTTGCTAAGCTGCACAGACCAGCACCGAAACAGAACCATTTCTGTTTGGCGAGGCCAATGGTGTAAAGCAGGAGACAGTGGGACAGGATCAACATCAGGTAAGAAACGCCCATCGTAGCCAGGACAGCAAGTATCCCATAAAGCATCAAAACTAAGGATCTGTGCTGTGAAAAAGAGAATATTGGCAATATAGTAGATAACCACACCAGTAAGTGGCGGTGACATTTTCGACGTATCTCAAGGCACTTCACAGAATACACTGTAAATGGTGCCATAGTCCAGTCATTGGGGGCAGGGGTTCTGCCCACTCACCTCCTGTTATCCTGCAAGCCAAACGCCTGACACATAGGTTGGTTCTAACTGGACAAGCAGGAGGAAGCTTGCCAGGAAGTGCTTTCAGTTGCAAGCGATGCAGTTTTAGCTGGTTAACCTCCACAGGAATCCAATACACATTCTGGAGTCACCAATCAGCTGCTAATACTCTGCAGAATTAGGTCAGCGGGGTGCACCCGCCCGCCAGGGAGAGTGAGTCTATTTGTGGAAAAGTCCCACAATCATTGAGGTGAATGACCAATTTAACTGGAGTACTGTTGGCTAGGATATTGGGAGAAACTCCCTTCTCTTTTTGGATCTTGTTCCGAAGAAGCAGGTGGACCCTCAGATTATCTTCTGATATGAAGGACAACACTTCTAACCATGCAAAGCTCAACTCTACCTCCTAATACTGCACCAGGCTAGACAGTGAGCTCAAGGCTCTATGTGGCTAAATCCACATCCAGCTGAGCCTGTCTCGACAGTCATGCAAGTCATCCTACAACTCATCTGGCTCTAGTGGTAAGCAAGATGCCAACAAGCCCCAAAGAGGGAGCCACGCGAGCTAATAGTGCACCTTAGTCAAATCCACAAATTAGCATGACGCCAGGTTTACAATGAGTTTTAGGAGACGCTGACCAGGTCTAGTTTGAATGTTGCTAAGATGCACACACAGGCAGTAAACCACAGCCACTTAAATTTTATCAGAGAAGGGGAACAAAATTGTAGTACATCGCTCCAGCACAGATAATAGCTTTAGCAATCAGGCGCCTCTGTATTGTTTTTGAGTCCTGTTAAAATGGACCAGTCCATCAATCAGGAAGTTTTTCCAAATAACTGACCAGACTTAAGTAGACATCCGAAATCCAGGAAATTGCAACAACATCAATAAATATATTTTCAGAGGGATGCGGTGAGGACAGAAAATACTTCCTTCTACTTTAACCCACAGAACCATAGGAATGTACGAAAAGGTAAGAGGCCATTCGGTCAATTATTTCTGTGCTTGTGTGCTCAGCCCACATGTCCCCTGTGTGTTTGCCTGATCACTGCCCTCAGCGGAGAACAGAAGAAGAAACAATTTCAAAGCAAGTCGGTGATTTTCAGAAACCAGCTGAGACAGAAGGTTATATTTCGCAAAAACAAAATCAATGACCGCATTGATTCCCATTAGGACACAGACTTTATAATCCAATACGCCGGAACGTTTGAACACACTGCCGAGTCTCACACCAAACCCATCACTGCACTGTGCCGAGTCTCACCAACCCCTTACCCCACACTGTGCCAAGTCTCAAACTCAGCCCTTTACCGCAGTTTGTTGGATCTCGCATTGACCCCTTCACCACACTGCCAAGTCTATGATTCTCGAAGAAAATTTCACACACCTGAAGTGCCATCATGGAAACAACTTTGCCGAAGAGGACATGACCAGATAAAGCAAAGAGGATGTAGTTTCGGAACTTGGTGAACCACATCACCCATTCAAAGTCAGCCACGTCCTGAAGAAGGAGAGGAAAAAGAGAAAGAAAAACAAACAGATAGAAAAAAGAGTGAAAGAGAGAGAAAGATAACAAAGGCACATAATGTAAACAGATTAGAATTTCAAAGTGTGACTGTAGAACTACCAAGCGCAAAATATGAACTGAAAACATCACTGGCATCAATGTGCTGTCACCTGGAGACCCTGTTCTGTGCCAAGCTTTGAAATGTGCCTTAAAGCAAGACAAGGTTCAGGACATGAAGGACAATATGAAGTGTTTAATTACATAATCAACATCTCAAATGGGGTACCTAGGACAGGTGATAGAGACTAGGACTCATTTAAGGAACAGCTCAACGCTGTGATGGAACGTAGGGGATTATGGAAGGATGAGATCAAATTTATTACTGTGAATAGCCAGCGGCTAGAAACCAGTCGCATGTTTCAGTCCTTAACAAAAAAGGTATGAGATGCCCCCAATCACCTTACCATTTTCCTACCAATGTACGACCACCCTCGCTTAACATTTGGCTTCAAACCCTGTCTGTTCATATTGTCTGCAAAGACGAAAGAGAAAAGCAAAACCATCAGATACACATTTGCCTACACAGACATTACAGTAATTCCAGTGAAGCGTTTGAGACATCCTCATGGAATTAAAGGCGCTGTGTTATTTATTATCCTTATATTTATTAACTCACCTGGATCAAATCCAACCAAAATCAACTGCCAGATTTGATTGGACCACACCAAAATCTATATGACTTGCATAGAACCTCCTGTCTCTATCCCTCCATCTCACACTCTATCTCTTTAAATTCCGCCCTAAAAGCCTACTTTCACCTCCTCCTGGCTCCCTAGACGAGAGGTGTGAGGTTTTGCAAAAAGGCGGGGAATTGAGATTACAAGATCTAATAAACCGGTGGAAGGGGTTCGCTGAGCTGACGAGTTTCCTCCTGTTCCTTTTTTCCAATGTCCCAATGAGGTTGGGGATAAACTACGTGAAATAGTGAGCTAAAGACTTTTTAAAAATCACCAAATGACACCAAGGTATGTAAATAGATCAAACATGGGCAGGTGAGAGAGGAGAATAGGAGTTGAGTAAATTGTGCCCGAGTAGGCTTGAGATAACTTTTCCAGTTGCCACAGTGACTGCCCTCCACCCTGAATCATATTCCCCGCAGCGAACGACATTCCAGGATTTCAGGGGCTCAGAGACGTGCACGGAGAAGCAGCTGTCCTGCAAGCAGCTGTCAGATTCCACATCACGCTGTCAATGGCACCAAAATCATCCTCAAAACCAAGCCACGATCAAGTGAACCAAATTAGCAGGCGTTAGCAATGCTTCATAATCTGCTGAGATAAATATATCAGCCTGGCTCGGTCTGTCGTACTCTCAACTCTGAGTCAGGCCCCATGTCGGGACTTTGAAGTCATACAGTCCGAGCTGTTAGCCTAGACTGTATAGTGATGGGGAATGCGCTGCATTGTTGGAAGTGCCATCCTTTGGTTGAGATGCTGAGGCAAGGTCCCCTCTGCCTGTTCAGGTGGACAATAATAATTCTTACATTTGATGCAGCATCTCGTAGAGAGGGCACCACAAAGTGCTTTACAGAATATCCTAGGAAGTGTAGTGACTGTGTATTTTGTAGGCAAACGGCTCTTTGGCATTATGGCAAATCTTGTGGCACTACTTGAAAAGAGAAAGGAGCTTCTCCTGGTGTCCTGGCCAATATTCCCCTGGATCAAATTAGTCATTCCCTCATTGATGTTTGTGAAACATTGCTGTGTGCAAATTGGCTGCCCCATTCACCTATAAAATACAGTCACAACACTTTACAGTAAATCTTGTGAAGCGCTTTGTGGAATCCATCTATTGTGGAAGGTGCTATATCAAATGCAAGCGTTATTATTAATATTATTATTAATCCAACATCAAACAGCCATAAAAACTACGGTGGTTTAAGGTTCCACCACCACCATCTTCTTAGGGCAATCAGGGGACAGATAATAACCACTGGTTTAAAAGATAAACAATATATCACTGGCATTAATAACTAACCTTTGAATCCTCTCAAATTTCCTTGGGTATGTGGGTTACGTACGTGAAACTCTAGATCTGGTCTGGATACTCTTAAGCATGGTGATGAGTTACTCATGTATCAGACACCCAGATACTCAGAAACAATATTAGTAAAGTCTCTTCCTTATTACCTCTGGAGGCTTCAAAGATCCAGCTTCCTGCCCAGAGAATCCCGAGAGACAACACGAGCGTGTAGAAACACAACTCCGCCTTGGGTAAGGCTGCTTTGAGACCCATTTTATCAGATCAGTGATTTGGATGAGGCAGGGAAAAAAGGAGAACTGGCCAGTGTCTTCAGAGCTGAGGAGAAAAGAAGAATCACCAATTAGAAGAAGATTAAAACAGATTAGGACTCGTTTGAATCAACAACAGGATGCCTGTGCTAACCTTCAGATACCTCCCGCCCGCCCGCCCTCTGTTCTGCTTCACAAATTCAGGCCTGTTTATCTATAGATTGGGAGCTCACTGGTTTGAATCCCAATTTGCTAGTCTCAGCTGGCGCTACATGGGAGGATAAATTGATCCTTGCATTCCTGAGAGGTTAAAAAGTCTAGAGGTCTCGCTGCCTCTATAGCTCCATCCATTGGTAGTGCTAATAATAATAATCCTCGCATTTGATACGGCGCCTTATCACTTCAACAAGAAGTCTCAATAAAGCACTTCACAGAATATATTGTAAAGCGGATTGACTGTCTAATTTGAGGGCAATACGGGCAGCCGGTTGCGCACAACAGTGTCCCACAAATAGTTGTGGATTGAGTGACCAAATTCTTTATTTTCTTGAAGGGATTGTTGCCCCAGGAAAGCGATTCGCCAATCGAGTAACAACCGGGTTCCTACTTACTGCTAGGTAAACAACCACAACAACAAATTCTATTTGTATAGAGCCTTTCGCCTCGGGAGGACTTCCCAAGGTGCTGGACAGTCAGGGATTTGGACTCGAGCTGAGGGTTGGGATCAGGAGGGGTAGGAGGGTGGCCAAAATCGCAGTCGAAGATGAGGGTCTTGAGACGTGTCTTGAAGGAGGCAAGGGAGGGNAGCGAGGCGAAGGGACTGCGGGATGGAGTTCCTCAGAGGTATGTGGAGTATGTGGAAACTTGCCTCGCCAACGAATCAAGAAACACCTTTTCTTTTCACAGCATCACCCACCACCAGAAGCTATAAACAGAGCCTCATGTCAGCAAATTATAACGGTAATCCAACCGATGGATTTAGGTGACAGTGAGCTGTGAGGATGGAGTCTGACTCTGAGGATAGGCAGTCAAGTCTATCAGCTGAACCAATACATTAAATCACTAATTCAAAAAGGCTGACAGCCCACCCACCTCTACGCGCACACACACACAGTATTAGGGACATGAAAATAGGAAAAGGCACTTTCAAGTGCTTTGGGATGACTTCTTGGTGTCACCCCTATCTTCGCACGGTACCTTTGTACCTCATTTGATTCTAACCCCCAGCTCGGGTGCAAAGCTATAACTGTCCAGCGCCTTGGGACGTCCTTCCATAGTGAAAAGCGCCGTATAAATTTAATTTGTTGTTGTTAAATTGTATTAACCTCCGGGAGGACGGAGGAGTTAAATGTGGTCTCCTGGAGTGTACTGGTTCCAAGGCGACGCGCTTGCCAGCGGAATATCAGAATCGAGTCAATCCTCTGTGGCAGTCTCGGTTGGGTCCGAGTACTCCAGGGCACTGCTGATGACAGCCAGGAGAACAACTATTCCAAATGAGAAGCGAGTTCCTCTCCGTGGTCCGGCCAAAATTGGTCATTCACTTCGTAGCTGTTTGTGGAACCATGACAACGCATTTGCATTTAAAAAGCGCCTTGCACATTGGGAGAACGTCCCAACGTGCTGTGCATAAATTGGCCGTCATGTTTCGCCTACGCTAAAGCCCACGCAGTTACTGCGGTTTACAGGATATCATTCTCTTGACCCGGACACCGGGAGAAATTATACATACACTACACTTCACAGAAACAATGTCGACCACTTTGTGACATTCTGCACCGTATCAAAGACCGGGGGTGATTATTATACTAATACTAATGATAATCCTTGCATTTATATAGCCTCTAATCACATCGTTGCGACGTCCCGAAAGCGTTGCTCAGGATTCCCTGGAGAGAGAGGGTAGTCGTGCTGTATTTTGTAGGTGAACACGGCAGCCAATTTCCACTAGCAGTGTCCGCAAACAGCCGCGAAGTGAGTGATCAGTTCTATCTGGGGGATTGTTGGGCAGGACACCGGGAGAGAGAGAAACTCCCTCCTCTTACCAAACAGCATTGGGGTGGGGGGGGGGTAAGCCACAGGATCCTTAACATCCACCTGACCAGGGACGCACCTCAGTGTAGCCTTCATCTCACTCAAAGCGCGGCAGCTCCAGCCATGCGGCGTCCTCCCCAGCGCTGCGCTGTGCTGGAGCGTCAGGCCGCCCGGCCTCCGAATGAGGGAAGTCCCAATTGTTGAGGCTCTTTTCTAGATCCACACCTTTACTGTTACAATGTCCCGGGGCAGGAAAGGTGGGGGTCGGGTGGGGGTAAATCCAGTGGCATATTGGTGAGAGAACTCGCCTTGCGAGCGAGAGAGAGCCCGGGCGGTTCGATTCCCGGGCAGGGGGCGAAACCTTAGGCAAGTTTCCTGACCCCACCCGCCTCTGTTTACCCGGCAGTAAGTCGGAGCCCGGTTGTTATTCGATTGGCGGATCGCTTTTTCCGGGGCTAATAATCCCTTTTTAAAAAAAAAACGCCCAAACAATGACAGTTTGGTCACTCAGTCCAGTCCAGTCCAGTCCAGTCCGCGACTGTTTGCGGAACGCTGCTGTGCGTTTCTCCCGCAAACGTACAGTCCGTCCACTTCGCGGTGTATTTGAGACGTCTCGAGGACCTGATAAGGCGCCGCACCAAATGCAAGGATTGTTGTTAAGATTTATTCTAAGGAACAATTGTCTTTTCTCGGCACCGGGGTTTCTTTACATTTAATATATTATATGTACGTTATATATTTCCGTTTGTCTTGTTGCAGCAAATGGAGCAGATCTGTTAATTGCTTAGAAATCCCAACTGGAAAAGCAAATGTCAGCACAACCATCGACTATTTTAAGCTGCAGAGAGAGAGAGAGGGAGAGAGAGATCGTCAGCTGCAGTGATACTCGATAGCTATAAGTAGAAATCAAACGCCCTCTCTGAAAATGCAGCATTCTCTCTCTCTCTCTCTCTTTTTCTCTCTCTCACTCTCTCTCTCCCTCTCTCCATCTCTCCCCCCCATCCCATGGAATATTTGTAACCACACTTCCACGCATTGCAATTTAAATGCTCGCACACTCCGAAGGCATTTCATTCCCACAACTGATCCGACTCCAAACTGAACGCAGTCCTTAATTCATCAAAAATAATACATTTGCGAACGTGCACTCATAAAAGGATAAATGAACGAGGGGATAGAGGATTCCCCCCCCCAACCCCCACCATCATCATCATCATTGCAGGGGATGTTAATAGCTCACACACAGCACACACTAAGCGTTTAAGTCACCTCTACCTCTTATTGCGATTGCAATTGCAATAACGCGAGCCTTTCGATGTTTAGCGTTTGCGACGAACGCACGATCGATGGAACTGACCTTGAATCCAGCAAGTCCCTCACTCACACCCCCAGTGAGCACACCCTGGCTGTGTGTGTGTGTGAGGGGGTGTGGGGAGGGGGGGGGGGTCTGATTTCATGGAAGATATTATTTTAAAAAAAAGGGAGGAGGAAGTTACTGCCTGAGGTTGCAGTACTGACACTTTGCTTCCCAATTTTTTTTTACCACACACTGATGGCACCAGTGGGTTGGGTGGAAATGAACGAGGGATTTCTTTTCTACCAGCAACTCTGGCTGGTCCTGGGAGGTGTCCATCAAAGGGGGAGAGTTGCCAGGCTGGATGCTCTCTTGCTCTCTTGGGACAGAAATTGACAGCCTTCACAAACCAATAAAAGACCAGGCAACTGATCCATCCTCTCTCCCTCTCTCCCTCTCTCTCCCTCTCCATTCCTTTCACCCCCTGACCCACCACCCCTGGTCCTCTAAAGGAAAGGTGAAACCCATCAGACAAGTTAATCTGGAACGGTTGACGCGGAGCCCTCGGAGGGTACCTGGTCAGAGCCCTCGCCGCGCAAGCGAGGGGACCCGGGTCTGATTCCCGGGCAGGGCGAGATCTTCGGCGAGTCTCTTCACTCCACAGGTCAACCGAGTAGTAAGTAGGAACCCCGTTTGTTGGTTGATTGGTGGATCGCTGTCCGGGGGTGATGACCGCTCCCACCCAAAGAAAACTTTGGTCCACTCGCTCCGTGACTGTTTTGTGGGGACGCCGCCGCGCGCAATTGGCGGCCGGGTTTCGCCCACAAAATATACAGTCAATTCGCTTCGCGATATATTCTGTGAAGCGCTTTGAGGGGTCTCAACGGAGTGATACGGCGCAATATCAAATGCAAGGATTACTATTATTATTATCCACACTTATTATTTTTAAAAAAATAACAAAAAATCTTGCCTCTGATTTTGAAATATCTCAAAGCGCTTCACTGGGGATCGCTGTAAAGGATAGTGACTGCATTTCTAAGCGAGTGCCGATTTATTTGGAGGGATATTCAACTTTTTGGTATCACTGGGAACAAAAGAAAGCAGCAACAGGGAATCTTCGGAGCTCCTGTTACCCCCGATTACAAGATCCTCACACTCCAGTGCTAATCACTTCACGCTCGAGCATCTCTCTCTCTCCAACCTGCTCGCAAAAGCGTTCTGAAGCGTTACCCCACGCTATGTAAATTCAAGTTGTTGCTGTTGCTGCTGCAAAGCCAAAGCCCTCGTTTTGAGAAATGAGAAGCGAGTTGGGATTAGTTAAATTCCAACAGTGACCCATACTTACTCTGTCCGGGGTCCCCCCCACCCCCCAAGCCTTGGCTCTCTCCAACTTGTACCTTACACTCTCTGGATCAAGGGTGTGTCCCTCCAGGTAGGGTGTGTGCATTCCAATCCGTACACGGGGACGTTTGTACGTGTGGGTGGCGTACATATGTGGATAGTCTGGTTTAGATCAACATAATCGGACTAGACGGTTTGATAAAATATGACTAGTGCAAAGAAATCAAAGTGGCTTTCGGTAGGAAACGGAATGGGATTCGGTTGCAAGTACGACGGCTTGTAAGGATAGGACTTACGTGAGTTTTACGGTACACGTGGGGAGTTAGGAAGCTTGGGCGGAGTATAAAGTGGGGACAATTTTTTTCGCGCTGCGACGACGGTCTGTCTAATTCTGTGCTGTGAAAAAAAAAGTGATTTCTTGAAACTTGTTTTCTTATTTTTTTTCTTGTCCTTGAGATCTGACCTCTCTCTCCCTCTCCCTCTCTCTCTCTCTCTCTCTCATATACACACACACTCACACATCGAAGAGATAGTGTACATACTCAGCAGACATACAAACACACAGAACAGAATGCAAGGGAGATCCCAATCAAGTGATACGGAATTGTGATTGTCATTATATAAATACCCAAAGCAGCGCACAGCTGATACAGCAGGAGCTGCCGGTACATTTCGCAACGCTTGTCGGGCTGTGCCTTCCTCATCTACAAGAGGTATTCCAGACTCACGTGAGGACATGTCGACACATCTGAGCCATTCCGCAGGCAGATCAAACGTAAGCGAGAGCACCTGGGTTTGATTCCCGGGCCGGGCGAAACCTCAGGTAACTTTCCTTACTCCACACGCCTCTGTTTACCTATTAATAAGCAGAAACTCGGTTGTTAGTCGATCGGCCGATCGCTTTTCCGGGGGTAAAAATTCCTTCAAAACTAAATAAATAAATTGGTGGCTCAATCTATGACTGTTTGTGGGACACCGCGGTGCACAATTGGCTGTCGCCCTTCGCCCACAAAATGCAGAATCAATTCCCGTCACAGTATATCCTGTGAAACCCTTTGAGGCGACGTAACGACGTGATAAAGCACTATATCAAATGCAGCGATGACTATTATGATTATTATTATACGGGGAAACGATTCAGTTCTGTGAATGAAAACACAGTTCGCCCTTCCCACCTGCTGCATGGAACTGCGTCTAACTCGCCAACCCACTTCACGACGCGAAGGGACAATTGCTTTAAATCTCCCAAGCGAGGGCGGGTTGTGATTCCTGACGCGCAGTAATACAAGGATCCGTCCGCACAATGAGAGCCCCTAAAAGAGCAAAATAAATTAGCTCTCGGTGCAGGTGCCAACAGATGGCAAAGGGAAAGGGGTGGGGGGGGGAAGAGAGGTGGAAATTAACAATTTATTCATTGATCCAATCCAAGAGTGAGATTCCCGTTTCGCTCACACGACGGCCACCCCCCCCCCCCGCCCCCCCCACTTCCCTTTCCTGGGACACAGAACTCCGGCTATAACACAGGCCACGCTGCGGCTGTAAATGGGATCGTCATCTGCAACAAGACTGCATCTAATCCACTTTCACTTTCCGTGCAGTCCATAATGACTCTGTAAAGGAATGGTGGAAATATAGGATAAGGTTCTCCGGAATTATTATTAATATTAATGATAAGCTATCCTCGACGGTACAGTTTTGCGCACAGCAGGGCCCCCCCTAACAGCCATAAAGTGAATGCAATTTTGTTTGGGGGAATGTTGGTCAGGACACAGGAGACAAGAAGTCCTTTATCTTCTTGAGTAGTCACGAGGGATCTTTAATGTCCACCTGAACGGCCAGACTGTAAACTGCTCATCCGAAGGAAGGCACCTCTGACAATGCAGCACTCCCCCCCCCCCCCCCCACCCCCCCCCCCCCCCAGCACCTCACGTCAGGAAACGGCAGCCTGGAGTACGAGTTCAAAGTCCCCAAATGGGAGCTTGAACCTACGACCCTCTGCCTGAGAGGTGAGAGTGCTCGCTCCTCTCACCGCTGCACCGTACCCGGCTCAGGAACTGAGGTATAGGGAACGCCGCAGAGGGTTGGCTCGATTCCGACATTCGGTTGCTAAACATGTCACCTTGGAGCCAGTTCAACTCCAAGGAGGTCCCCGCTTACCTCTCTCCCCCAAGGAGGAGGCTTGCTTAAGGGTGTCCAACGGACAGAGTTCCACATACGTCTGCCACCGACACATGGGAATTTCCCTGAGTCTGGAAATGGAATGTGCCCTCTATCCCTGGTTACCTAATTCCAGAGAGTACTTGTTTTTTTTTAAATGTTCCTTAAGGAAGACAGAGCAAAGAACAGTATTAATATTCCGCCTCAGAAAAAGGGTGGATTTAAATGGCCCTAAAAGTGCTAACTTTGCAATTGTGTTGTCAGGTGTCAACCTGACTCAGTTGGTAGCACTCTAGTCTCTTGGGCGAGAAGATTGTGGGTTCAAAGTCAGGTCTTTGCGTTCACTTTACAGTCTCCTTTACAGTGTTGGGTCATTTTGTCCGATGCCCTGTCCTCTGGCGAGACTTTAAACTGACTTCCTGGATGTCTGTTCTTGTTCTTGGGGACATTAAAGATCCCATGGTACTATTCGAAGGAAGAAGGAAGTTCAGGACAACAATCTCCCAGATAAAAGTGGCCATACACTTGTTTGCGGGACGTTGCCGCGCGCAAATTCTCTTGTCGTGTTCTCTATATAAAATTCACAGTCGCTCTGCTTTACAGTAAAATTGTTTGAAGCACCTTAAGACGCCTTGAAGATGCGAAAGGTGCTATGTAAAATGCAAGGATTATTAGTATTAGAATATAATAATTCTTGCCTTTGTTATAGCGCCTTATCATGTCGTTGAGACGTTTCAAAGCGCTCCACAGAAAAGTGAATCGGCTCACGTTAGTGAGTCGTGGATTGAATGGCCATTTTTTGGGGGGGATTATTACCCCTGGTAAGTGATCCACCAGTCAACTAACAAGCGGGTTCCTACTTAATGCTGGATAAACAGAACCGTGTGGAATAAGGAAACTTGCCTAAATTTTTGCTCTGCCCGGGAACCAAACCCGGGTCCTCTCGCTTGCGAGGCGAGTGCTCTAACCACTACTCTACAGGACACCAATATTGTTATGTATGGCTGGGACACACACACACACACACACACACACACACACACACCTATCTTGGTTTGGTCTCCAACAGCTCAATAGACCGTGAAGTGTTACAGGAAATCTTCCCCAGTGGCCAGGCAGAGAGTGCATTAGTTTGCACGAACGTCGACCGGCAGTGCGTAATCCAAGTCCAGTGGAGATGGCGTGAAATTGATTGTAACCCAACACAGATCACTGGGGCTGAGCCCGAGACTGGCCTGTGCTGAGGCTGTTAGTAAACTCAGGCGGTGACGCCTGGCTTAAAGATTCTTCACCCACCAAACGTCTGCTCTTCCCAGAACTCCGAACCTGATGCTGATTTGATCTTCATTGACTCTTGTTTTTATTCTAAACCCAGGAATTGATTTTTGGTTCTTAGAAAAAGTGAGTGCTTCCGACCCACTGGAAGGGAGCAGCTTGGATTCCAACTGTGAAGAGATACGTACCATTGAGAGCGCTGTCTGGCAAGCTTTCCTGCTGCGTATCTAGCTAGGACCACCCTAATAATAAAGTTGGGGCTTTGCTTTGCAGGGTTAACGGGTGTTGAGTGGGAAGAATCCCTGCCCCCCCCAGTCTAAACGTGTTGGAATCATTAATACAATTTGACCACTGTGCTGGCAAATGGCTTGGAAACAATTTAATTGCCACGTAGTGTAAATTTTACGTAAGACGATACGGAGACGTACCGAGAGTTTATTTGAATGTGGACGAGCTGACAGCGTCACTGTTAGAAATGGGATCTCGGGATTAAGTGAATTTAATACCTGGAGTGACAGGATGGTACATGGGAACGCAGGAGAGTGAGGACCGGCACAGAGCAGCGTGCTCGGCCCATCCGGCTGGATCTCAAAATAAAACAGATCAAATTTAAACAAAATAAATAAATCCTACTCTATCGTTGTTCTGTCCTTTCATACTAAATTGAACTCTTCGCCATCTAACAGTAATAATCCTTGCATTTGGTATCGTTGGGACGTCTCAAAGCGCTTCACAGGATGTATTATAAAGTGGATTGACTGTATATTTTGTGGGCAAAACGCGGCAGCCGATGGCGCACAGCAGCGTCCCGATAAACAGTTGTGGATTGAGTGACCAATTTTTTTTACACTTGCTTGCAAGGCGAACGCTCTTAACTGCGGGACACTACAGGAAATGAACCGCCAAAGCTGATGGTTTTCCCACCCACCCTGTTCCATTTGTTTTTCCATTTGTGCAGTAAACTACAACCTCACCCTCACTAGTTTGGTGTTTCAGAAACACACAACAATCAAAGTGGATGTTTACACCCATTCTCGGAACTGGGGAAAGAAACCACCTTTCACATCCACACGTTCAATCCTTATCTGGATCCTGTTAAAACTTGTGTCACCTTGTGGTTTAATACTATGTTGTGCTTATTATGACTAATCCCAGAGTGCCTCGGAATAATGGTCTGCAGTATATAATATATGATGGTATGCAATAAATCACCGTAGAGCTTGTCGATGTCTCTGCCTGGCAAGCTTTCCCGCTGCTTGTCTAGTTAGGACCTCACCCTACCCACTAGGGCTTTGGCTGCAGGTTTAACAGGAGCTGAGTGGGAGGATTCCCTGCCCCCAGTGACTTGTCTGCACTTCCAAATCCTTCGTGGATAACCCAAATTCCAAAGCAATAGACATACAGTTAAAAAAATACTTTTTGTTTTAATTTAGAAAACCGTACATTGAGAACAAGCAAACAGCGTGAAAGGTTACGATTCATTTCACGACAAAGGGTGGGGGTGGGAGGGGGTGGACATTGAGGTAACAGGTAAATGAATCCTTTCACTGACAGTCTGTAATATTGTCAACGTGTGGCTTATACACCTCAAGCAGCCAAACCTTTTCCCACTCGGAATTAACGTCGTTTAATTTTAACCAGCGCCATGCCTTGAGGATAATATCTTTGATTTATAATTATTTATAAAGACGAATAATTTTTTTAAAATAAGAAGCTGGTTCCGTTGACGGCTGGGGAGACAAAAAGTAATGCTTTGCCTCCCTCAGTGTTTCCAGGTGCAATAAGTAATAAGCAGCAACAAAATGATAATTGTTCCTCAATAACACACGTGGGTCACGATAGCCTGGGTCAAGTTGTGCAACGTCTCTGTTGGTGCGGAATCACAGGTTGATGTGATGTTGGATTGGAGCCAATTCCATTCTGACCGAGTGTTGCTTTCCATCAGTCTCTAATACAAGGGCGCTGTATAAATACAAGTTGTTGTTGAGTATCAGAATGCTGGGCTGTGCCCTCAGGGTCAGGATACAAAGGAGGGGATCTCTGGTGTGTTCCCTTTCAATGTTTGTCTTTGTGCTGTCGAATCGCCTGCAGGAAGATCTGTTTCACCTGACTGACCATGTCCTGGTACAGTGCGAGATCCTCCTGTTTGGCTTTCAAGGTGCTTTGCAAAGCAGTCTTCAGGGCTCCGTTTTCATCCATCTGTATGGTGAGCCTGAAAATACAGAGGCCACAGGTTTACACCCAGACTCACATAACCGCCCGGTCTGACAGAGCGATGAGGAAAGGCGAACAGACTGTTTAAATACAATTGTTAAGATTTTTCTATATATATATTAATATACAGTAAATAGTATATTTATAGACACGTTACAGTAAAGTTGTGTAATCAAAGAATTTGTGAAATGCCTGAAATTTTCAGTAACGTTGAAGGCAGAATGACCGTCATTCTGTGCTGTAAATTATCTATCGTTCAACATGTCTCCCGACTCCGATGGTATAAGCGGGTGTATTGTTTGTACGAAAACAATTGTATTATTGTACGCACGTTTGAAATGATGGTGGGCAATGACTTGCATAAGCCATTGTTTTTAACAGTTAGTTACCGTGTGTTAAGTTCTTCTAGTTGTGCATCCGAGGACACAGCCATCGCTGGAGGCAGGTCTCTGCTGCTCGACGGATTCAAGCTCTGACGCCCACCACTTGAGGACAGATCTTCATTTACAAAAGAACAGAACAGAGCAGCGTGAGCTGATGGGAAAGGTATCGTCTTCGGTACTTCGCCCAGTTTGGGAAGACACAAAAAGAACATTCCCCACAGTTTAAAAATATTACCAATATCACGGTAATCTGCTTCAGGAATTGCACAACGTACGTCCCGGCCCCACTGTGGCTTTTAGTCACTACACCTAACAGGAAAGGGACATAAAAACAACAACAAAAACAACTTGCACTTATATGGCTGCAGAGTCTCGGAGCGCTTGTAGGGACATGCAGAACGTGAGTTAGCAATTGATCAAGAATTTTTTTTTTTGCTGCAGCTGGAGTCCTGCAGCTCAGTGGCTCGTGTGCTCGCCTCGCGAGTGAGAGGACCCGGGTTGGATTCCCGGGCAGGGAAAAACCTTAGGCAAGTTTCCCTACTCACCGCACTGGATTGTGACTACTCACTTAAAACGTTTTGGGCATCGTACAGCAGCAACTCGCAGTTACACTTCTTACCTTTATTTAAGGGCCCAGTTCTAATGTCAACTGGACGCCTGGACGTAATCCCAACGTAACTCTGTACTTACTTGGCTTGTTCTTATTGTTGTGTTTGCTGGGGTCGTGGCTTTTCCCTGCGTCTAGTTTGGCTTTTCCAAGCTGTTGCTCCAAAATGGCAGATCGTCGTCTGACCTCCTGAAGCTTCCGCTCAGCTTCCAAAAGCTTCTCGCTGCTTCCCTCCACCCTAAACCAAGACAACAATAACTTGCATTTACACAGCGTCCGTAACGAGGGTAGAGTCCCAGACAGTGGCGGAGCATGACACCGAGCTAGGGGGAAGGTGACTGAAGGCACGACGAAGAGGAAGGTCTTCAGGTGCGACCTGAAGATGGGGAAGGAAGGGGGTGAAGGCGGAGGGATATAGGAAGAGTGTTTGAGCATTTCGGGGCTTAGTGACTGAAAAGGCCGTCGCCGATGCTGGAGCAGAGGCAGGCAGTGCTTCTGCATCAAGTGACATTAACTGAAAAGATTCATCAAGTTAACAACTGCCTGTGTGTATATTGTCCTGGTCAGTAATCCTGGGGATATTCATGAATTCATGAATTGGCTGTTTGTGGGGACCTGACTGGACATTGCTGCTGCAATGTTTGCCTACGAATACGCAATCACAGTAAAACGCACCGAGATATCCTCTCGTTGTGAGAGGCACTTTATCAAATGTGTGCATTATTATATAATTACAGTAATAATCCTTGCATTTGATACAGCGGCTTATCCTGTCTTTGAGAAGTCTCAAAGCGCTTCGCAGGATATATTGTAAAGTGAATTGACTGTGTATTTTGTGGGCAAACGTGGCAGCCAGTTGGGCACAGCAGTGTCTATGGATGGCGTGACCATTGTTTTAAATTATTATTTATTATTATTACTGGTTTCATTCCTACCTCTTCTGCTGAAGACTGACCAGCTCCAGGAGTTTGTCCCTCTCCACTTCCACAGCTTGGTAAAGTGATTTGTATTGAGTGCATTGTAGCTGGAGAGTGTTGACGTCAATCCCGTTCATGCTGAGATGAAAAAGACGAGACGTCACAGGATGTTTAACGATGACTTACATAGCGCTCTTCACGCAGGACGGAGCCTCAGAGCGCTCATCAATGGCAAAGTTTGATTTGGAACAAACAAAATAGACCTTTGTTTAACATCTTATCCGAGGACAGGACAGCATCTCTGACATCACAGCACTGACCCCCCACCCCCCAAACCCCCTCGCACTAGAGTATCAGCATTGACTGACGCGGAGCTCCAACCCACACCGTTCCAAGGCACTGAAATACTGTATCAGCCGCTGACAAGTAGAAAGTCCAATTACTGCTGAGAGTGTTAATATTTCCCCGTTATTGGAAAGAAGGGCATTCCAACCCTCCTGTTGTCTAACAGGAAAATGATTCACTCAGGTATTTTCTTGCAGCCTTTACACTCCTAAATACAAACATGCAAACAAACCTCGAGTTCCTTCCGGTGGCGAGTGTCGAAGGAGACTGAGCAGCAGACGACTCGACCAGTATGTGTCCCATTGCAGACACCGAACTGTTGGGAATCAAGAAGATATTACGCGCTCTCTTGAGAAAAAAAACCCCAGTTAACTCAGTTCTCTTCTGTTATTCATTCACTTGTCCCTTGCGAGTGGTCTGGAATGCTACCTTAATAAAAAACAATCCTTGCAATTGATATAGCAACTTATGACGTTGTTCAGATGTCTCAAAGCGTTGCACAGAATATACTGTAAAGTGGATTCACTGTGTATTTTGAGGGCGAAATGTGGCAGCCAATTGCGCACAGCAGCGTATCACAAGCACTTGTCAATTGAGTAACCCCAATTTTTTTTTNGAGGGATTAAAAAACAGTGATTCGTTAATTGTCTTAACAACCGGGTTCCTACTTACTGCTGGATAAACTGCTCCTTACTGTGTGGAGTAAGGAAACTTGCCCAAGGTTTCACCCTGCCCTGGAATCAAACCCAGACCCTTTCGCTTGTGAGGTGAGTGCTCTACCCACTGAGCTACAGGACTGTGCACAGCGATGTACTACAAAACCAATAAGTGAATGACCATTTTCTTTTTTTTTCTGGGGGATTGTTGGCCAAGACACATACCGTTGTGAACAATCGTTGATGGATTCCCCATCGGAGATTAAGTTAAGTGAAGCAGAGTGTGGGAAGAATAAATCATAAAGGGGGATTTGCAAGTGAAATTATCAGTCTGGCTTAGATGGTAGCACTCTCTCCTGAGTCAGAAGGTTCTGGGTTCAAAACCCATGTTGAAACTTTGAGTAAGGAGACTTTGGGCAAGTTTCCTTACTCCACACGCCTCTGTTTACCAGCGGTAAGTAGGAACCTGGTTGATAGTTGATTGGCGGATCGCTTTTCCGGGGGTAATAATTTCTTCAAAATAAAATAATAGTAAATTAGTCACTCAATCCACGAGTGGGACGCTGCTGTGTACAATTGGCTCCCGTGTTTCACCCACAAAATATAGAGTCAGTTCTCTCTACAATATACCGTAAAGCGCTTTGAGACGCCTCAAAGACATGAGAAGGCGCTAAATCAAATGCGAGGATTATTGTTATTATTGTTCTCCTAAATTCTCATCTGTTGCTCACCGAGCAGAAAGTAAACTCCCCGCTGTCTCGTCCTCTACTGTCGAAGTACGGTGGAGTGAATGTTCACCAAAGCTGTCCACGTGAGTCAGGTTGGATGGATACTGAGCCTCTGAAGTTGGCATCTTTTGCTGCTGCTCCTGGGAATCATACAACAGAAGCTTGATCAGATCCACACTTGCTCGGTCATCGCATACGCATTTAAAAAGGATGCACTGTGGCGTGAAAGTCATGTGGGCAAATTATCCATTGACGTAGCCAGATGGTTGGTTGCATAAAGACAATAATTGCTTTTCAAAGTATTTGGAGTTCGGTATCTCAGTGGTTAGAGCCCTCGCCTCGCAAGCGAGAGGACCCGGGTTCGATTCCCGGGCAGGTCAGGGCGAAACGTTGGGCAAGTTTCCTCACTCCACACACTACACACACACACCTGTTTACCAGCAGTCAGTAGGAACATGCTTCAGCGCCTTGGGACGTCCTCCCGACGTGAAAGGCACTACACAAATGTAATTTTGTTGTTCTTGTTGTTAGTCAATTGGCGGATCGCTTTTCCTGGGACAATAATTCCTCCGAAAAATAACAATAATGATAATTTGGTCACTCAATCCACGACTGTCTGTGGGACGCTGCTGTGCGCAATCGGCTGCCACGTTTCACCCAAAAAATAGTCACTTACTTTACAGTATATTCTGTGAAGCGCTTTGAGACGTCTTGAAGACGTGACAAAGGCGTTGCATCAAATGCAAAGAGTATTATTATTATTATCCCTGTGCTATTGCAAGGTTGTGTGTGTGAGATGAACAGCAGCTGAGCCACGCAGACTCTGCGACTATCACTTACCTTCTGTACCAGTTGTTTGACTTCCTCCTCGAGCTCCTTCACTTTGGCTTCCCGCTCGCTCACCATCTGCCGGAGTTGGACAATCAGGGAGCTGTGCGTCTGGGCCTCGCTGTTGAGCTGCTGGCTGAGGCTCTGCTCGGTCACCTTGCTCTTCATCTCCTGCTGACTCAAGTGATCCAGAACCTCGTGCAGTTGCCTCTGCTGTTTCTGTGAAAGAACGCAACACTTTGGGTGCGAGAGTGCGAGATGGACGCACTGCCTCAGGAGGCTTTAGAGGCAGAATAGAATCCAGGCGGATGTTTAAATGGGAGCTCAATAGGTTCACGCTCGCCTACAAATCCCCTCCTGCCCTGGCGCCTCCCCACCTCTCTGACCTGCTTATCCCCCACGCCACCACCTGCTGCTGTCTCTGCTCTGCTGGCTCCAGCCTCCTGCTTGTCCCTCGACCCCTCCATCCCACCGTCGGTGGCCGTGCTTTCAGCCACGACACCCTGACTCTCTTCGACCGTGCTTACGGTCACCTCTCTCCCCCCCACCCCACCCCCGGCTGATGCTCTGCCACTGTCAGGCGCTCTGAGACGCTATCCTGCACGAGGGGCGCTATATAAATTGTCGAGCACCCGGAGAGAGGGGCGGTTTCTGCACAGCGGTGGGGGGTGAAACGCTGACTTATTTAGGCGCTCCCCACCCCTGCACGAGATCTCTTACCAGCAGCACACCAACAAGCTCATCATCGTGCTTCCCCTTCTCCAGGAGAGTCGCTATTTGACTCTTCAGAGTTTTCACTTCAACAGCTAAGACTTTGTTCCTGGCTTTCGACCCGTCCAACCTTTGCTTGAGTTCCTCGTGATCCTTCTGCAGCACCCCGTGGTCGCTGGTCATTTTCTGAACAAAAACCCACAAACAAGGGCAACGTTTTACATTGACAGGACTCGCCACTGACACACTGAGCAATATAATACTCCTGGAGCTCAGTGGTTAGAGCCCTCGCCTCGCGAGCGAGAGGACCCGGGTTCGATTCCCGGGCAGGTCAGAGCGAGATATTGGGCAAGTCTCCTCACTCCACACACACACACATGACTCTGTTTACCAGCGGTCAGTAGGAACCCGGTTGTTATTCGATTGGTGGATCGCTTTTCCGGGGGTAATAATTCCTTCAAGAAAATAAAATAATAATTTGGTCACTCAATCCACGACTGTTTGTGGGGACGCTGCTGTGCACAATTGGCTGCAATATATACAGTCATTTCACTTTATAGTGTATTCTGTGAAGCCCTTTGAGACGTCTCGAAGACGTGATGAGGCGCTGCATCAAATGCCAGGATTATTATAGTAGTCACTCGAGTGAGGGGGATCGGTATTTTGAGCAGAAGAGAAATGAGTCAAAGTGCCTTCAGAGACCTGAAATGTATTTTGCAGTATATTTTAACGCTATTTCTAAAATAAAGAGCGAAACGTGTTGACATTTAAAGCTCTTGCAAAACTCGCTGCAGGTCAGTCAGCCGGTCAGTCATCAGGACGTGGTGCACTAGTCACCTGGTAAACCTGAAGAGATTTTCGGGAGGGATGGAGGGAGGGACCGTAACTCATCACTTACCTCCAGGGCTCCTTTCCTTTCTTTCTCCATCGCCCTAATATGTGCTACGTTTTTGTCTTGTCCCGTTAAGTGCCAGGAAACCGTTGCCTCCTCAGTGCTCTGCTCCGAGGACTGGCCCTTCTGGATATTTTGACGCAGTTGGTTTTCTAACTCTCTGACCTATTTAAATACACTCAAGTTAGTTCAGCTTCAAATACTTTGTTCTGCCCCGACAGGCTTTTTAACCTTCAACAAATTGGCTGCCGCGTTTTGCCCACAAAACGCACAGTCACTCCACTTTACGCTACATCCAGTGAGCGCACGGGTCCAAAAACAGAGCAAAGCCACCAGATGGGGCGGAACAAAGTACTTCCTTCACCTTCTTCTGCAAAACCTGAATCTGCTCGGCTCGGCCTCGCCAGTGCCCTCCGTTGCTCAGCAAGTGCTGGAGGTTGATTTCGTCTCCCACCTCGTTAGTCAGCACCTACACAAGCACAAACAGGTATTTATCCTCAAAAGCTCGTTCACTGCGCCCGATTGCAGTAAAATAAGATGGATTATTTGCCTCAGAAAAAATCTCCCTTCCAGGATCATTTTCAATCGTGACCTTCAATTTGTTAAACGCCCCAAGTGACCGAGGATTACTTTGAGTGAAGACATCGATCCACGGCTGTTTGTGGGGGACGTCGCTGTGCGCAATCGGCTGCCGCGTTTCGCCCACAAAACATACAGTCAATCCACTTTACAATATATTATTTAAAGCGCTTTGAGATGTCTCGATGATAAGGTGCTGTATTAAATAGAAGGATTATTATTATTATAATTCTGCTCTGACGTTTTACCTGCTTTGGGTAAATCTGCCTGTGATGCTGACCGCGACTGTCCAGTCGTGCTTTGGCTTTCACGTTTGATTTGTGATTAATCCCACGGATATGAATTAAAACCCAGGAACTGGTGCAGACTCTGGATCCCCAAACAGCCTCGTTGGGGGATTTTACCATTATCTTAAAGAGGACACAGACCTCGGGGATTCTTTGACAGGATACGGCAGTGGCACTTTCATGATAAATTAACACAACTCTCCTACAAGTTCAAGTTCTAGCTCTGGGTAAAACAGCGACAGGAAGCTGGAGTCAGCTCAGTCTGTTGGGAGGGGAAAGGGGGGGGAATGGGGGGAGAGGAAAGAACACACACATTGCTCAAGAAAAACCAACCTGAAGTGAGAGCAGGTATGGAGACCTGCCAGGCAGCGCATCGCCATCTGTAGTACTAAGGATGAACCACTCTGAGCGAGCAGATGTGGTTGCCGTGACTTTTAATTACAGTGCCCTTCACCTCCCAAAGTAACAGCTACTCGGTGTGAAATAAAGGATGGGCCGGTATAACCCCCTTGTCTCTCTCTTTTTCCCCCCCCCCCACCCGCCCCCGCTCTCCCTGCCGGAAACTTGCCCAACATTTCGCCCTGCCAGGCCTCGCGCTTGCGAGGCGAGTGCTCTAACCAGAGCTACAGGACTCCACGTGTACTGTGAAACGCATCGACTGTGTGATTTCTGGGGCGAATATGGCAGCCAACGGGGAAACTGCTGTGTGTAATTACAAACAGCCGTGAAGTGAATGAGCGAAGTTATCGAGGAATTGTTGGCCAGGACACCGAGAGAAACTCCCGTCTCTTTTCATATAGCCCTGCAGGATCCTTAACGTCAACAACAATACAATGGCCTTCACACAGGGTAGCGTCCAAGAGCGCTTCACAGTGGTGAAGCCAAGGGAGGGGGCAATCAAAAGAGGTCTTTAGGCGGGAGGGAGGGGACAATGAGGAGGGGTTGAGGGAGAGAGTTCCAGAGCGTAGTGGCTGAAGGCACGGCCACCGATGGTGGAGCGGAGAGGATGAGGGAGAACTAGAACAAATGTCCACCTAAACAGGCAGACGGTTTGACATCTCATCTGAAGGACGGCACCTCCGAGAACGCAGCACCACCCACCCCCCGCAGCCCATGTCAGGCTAAACTGGGGGCTTGAAACCACAACCTTCTGACTCCGAGGCAAGAGTGAGCCACCAATTGAGCCTGACTAATGCACCAAACGACTTACAGTCTCAGTACTGTAAGGTTCGAGGATAGTAATTTATCAATTGTATGTGGGTGTGTGTCAGGGTTGGCGTGGGGGGCTGGGGGAGCTGCCAAACAGAACCAATTCAAATTAAATGGGTGGAGTGTGTGTGTGTGTGAGTGGGTGTGTGTGTGTGGGTGTACGTGTATGTATGTGGGTGTGTGTGGGTGTGTGTGAATGGGTGTTTGTGAGTGGGTGTGTGTGTGTGGGGGGGGGGTGTGAGTGTGTGTGTGTGTGTGTATGTGGGTGTGTGGCTCCCATACCTTATGTGCCATTTTCAGCTCTTGTTTGACACTCTGGATCTGGTTGCGGGATTCGACCAGTTTGAGGTTGGTCGCACAAAGCTTTTCCTGAAGGGCTTTGACCTCGGGGTTGTCAGACTGTTGAGGGCAATCAGCAGAATTTCATATTGATCAACTTCTGGTCAGAGAGTCTCCAAAAACAAGGCAGACTGTTGAACTATAACTGCACCCGAACGGAAAAATACAACTGTTATATATATATAAAAAAACATTGTAGAATTCCTGAGTTACCTTCAACTCCGACCATGGTTGTAGCAAAGGTAAGTGAGGGAGGAGCTGTGTGACATTTTAATTGTGGTCAGTGCAGAAAAGTGGCAACAGATGATGGCAAATGAGATATAATAATAAAAATAATAATCCCTGCAATTTTTTTAGCTCCTTCTCATGCCATGGAAACACCATAAAGCAATTCACAAGATTTCTACTGTGAATTGTAGAAACTGTGAACAATATAAACACATAATGGGATGGGGAAAGCTGAGGTGGAGTCCTGTAGCCTTCTGTAGACCAGTGGTTAGAGCACTCGCCTCGCAAGCGAGAGTCCCGGGTTCGGTTCCGGCAGAGTGAAATGTTGGGCAAGTTACTCCACGTGCCTGTTTACCCAGCAGTAAGTAGGGTCCAGTTGTTAGTCGATTGGTGGATCACTTTACCGGGGGGTAATAATTCCTTAAAAAAATAATAATAATAAATTGGTCACTCAATCCACGACTGTCTGTGAGACCCTGCTGTGCAGGTTAGATTGCCTGGAAGTTACACCCACAAAATACACAGTCAATCCACTTTACAGTACAGTCTGTGAAGGGCGATTTGATAAGAGGCTATTTCAAATGCAAGGATTATTATTATTATTAATAAAGTGATCTGCAAAGTTTTATTGTGAATTGTAGTGACTCTGTATTTAAGATGAACAATGTAAACAGGACAGGAAAAGGTAGAGGGTATAACGTCTTAGTTGCTATTTAAACTGACCAGTAATCCATCCTTTGTCTTGGGAGAGAGATCTTTGGTGACTCGTGGCATTGCTTCTGTAGAACCGTGTGACTGACTGTTTGTTAGAGCAATCTGGAGCTGTAAAAAAACCAACAACAATGCTACAATAATTTGACTGGGACAAACATCAAAGGAATCAATGAGACGATTGGGATCATTAAACCATTGGGATCTCACCTCAACCCACGTGATATCTCAGGCTCTGCCAGTTTAGCGTTGGACAAAGGTCTGGAAGATTTGGGGGTTTCAATCACAACAAAACAAGACCATATCCATTTGACCATAACCTTCCAGAATGTCTATCCTGCTGTCTCCCCATTTCAGCATCAAATTATTTTCTCTGTCAGTGCAATAGTACAATAGCAACAACAAATTACATTTGTAAACGAGAGGACGTCCCAACGCACTGGACAGTCAAGGATTTGCACCTGAGCTGGGGGTTGGGATCAGGAGGGGTGGAGGGCAGAAGTCGGAGGGTGCGGTTGAAGAGGAGGGTCTTGAGAAGGTTCCTTGAAGGAGGAAAGGTGGGAGCGAGGCAAAGGGACTGTGAGTCGGAGTTCTAAAGATTGGGAGCAGAAAGGCTGAAGGCCCGACCGCCGATGGTGGGGCGGTCAGGGCGGGGGAACGAGGAGCAGGCTAAAGTCCGCTGAGCGGACACATGCATCCTGTGTGCAAGAAGCATTGCCGACCTCCTTCCTTAATGGCTCGGCAGTGCTTTGGCGTGTGGGTGTTGGATACTGAGTAAGGGAGAAAGAAAATTTAGGTTTTATGGTGAGTTACAAAGGGCGTGAGGTGGAGAGATACAGGGAAGGAGCTCCAGAGGTCAGGACCACAGTGACTAAAAGACCAAGTTGAGCAGGTGGTCCATGTTCACAGCAGATCCTTGTTATCTCTCCAACAAGGCCAGAATGGTGTCCCTCTCTCAACCCGTTCCCAGACACTGCAATCATTTCATCCGCCACAGAAACACAAAGAGCCGAGTGAATGAATTTCAGCCATCAATGGACCGAGTGCGCTTCCTGGATCAGACAGGACATGACACCTCGAAATGAAAAACCCAGTGACCTGACAGCGAGAGACCTGAGTTCAATTCCAGGCAGAGGGCGAAACCTTGGGCAAGTTTCCTTACTCCACACAGAGCCTAATAATAATCCCTCCAAAACCAAAAACAATAATAAATTGGTCATTTTCAATCTACGACTGTTTGTGGGACATTGCTGTGCGCAATTGGCTGCCGCGTTCGCCCACAAATATACAGTCAATTCACTTTACAGTGTGTTCTGTGAAGCGCTTTGGGAAGTCCTCTCGACGTGAAAAGCGCTATATCAAATGCGATTACTATTATTATTATTATTTAAAGCATCAGCTGAGCTCCCATTGTGTCTGCACTGGTGTCTGCTCCCCAATTAAGCCAATTAAGCCAAAGGTGTCCTTGGATGGCAATGGTGACAATCTTCATTGCTCTCACTCACTCACTCACATACACACGCACACACACAGAGCAATAGCTCTGAGAGACGAATGACTGATTGATCATTGGAACTGTACACACTGTCTCGTTGGGCGGGTTGTAAAGAGGACTATGCTGCACGAACCTCCTTCTCGAGCTCCCGCACTTTGCTGTTGAGCTGCTTCACTTTGGTTTTGTTGCTCTCAGTCTCCACCACCAGTTCACGGTTCCTCTTAGACAGTTCCACTATTTTGGTTGCAGCCACGTCACCAGCTATGCCTGCTGTCCCTGTGCCATAATCACACACTGAGATTACTGATCAGTCAGCACTGAGATGCTTTCCTGCGTGAGAGGCGCTATATAAATGCAAGTTGTTGTTGTACCTCAAACCGTACATTTTGCTCCCCAATTGAGCTATTCAATTGCTGTGCGCAATTGGCTGCCGCGTTTCGCCCACAAATTCACTTTTACAGTATATTCTCAGAGACGTGATGAGGCGCTGTATCAAATGCAAGGATTATTATTATTATCGTTTACGCCAAAGCTCTCCTTTGATGACAGTGGTGACATCTTCATTGCTCCCCCACACCCTCTCTCTCTCTCTCTCTCTCTCCCCCAAACTCTTCCCAGAAAGTGAACGACATTAATCCATCCAGTATCAGCAGAAGCGAGCAAGCAGTGGGAGGAGGAGGGAGATGAAGAAACTGGAATATCTTCCAATAATAACTTTCAAAAGGGAATTGAATATATACTTAAAAAGGAAAAAGATTGCAGGGCTATGAGGGGAGGGGGCCTCATTCGATAGCTCTTTCCAAGTGCCGGCAGATATACGATGGGCCGAATTGCCTCCTTCTGTGGTGTAAAGTTCTATGAAGTAAGAGTATCTCAGCCCCAGTGCAACACTTTGTTGAAATACAGAGATAATAAGACTGCCCTGTTGAGTCCCGACAGCTGGTAAACTTTTTTTTTTATTCACAGCTTCTCTTCCAGAAACTGAACGATATTAATCCATTTAAGTGTCAGCGGAAGCGAGCCAGCAGGAGGAGGAAGAAGGAGATGAAGAAGCTGGGATAGGTGGGGAGCCCCATCCCTTGCCTAACCTGACAGCTGCAGCAGGAGAGAAGTCGGCAAAAAATAGCTGATCGGCAGATAGTGAAGGGGAGAGCCACTGCTGGTACACAGAGCACTCCGGGAAGGAAGGACAGCGAGTTGTTTGCCCGCATCGCAAAAGGATCCTAAATGATTGACTCATTGTCGGTAGGAATTTAGCCGGAGTTTAACGGCATTCATCCCGTTGAGCGTAAGAGAATTGGAAATGAAGGGGAGGGAGTGGGTGCTAAGAAGAACGGACACAATAATACGTTATTATTGATAAATCTACAGAACCGTCAGAGGCCAATACAGTACTTGGGCAAAGGGCAAAGCAATCATTGGGATACAACAGCAGTGGAACAGAGTAAAGGCTAAAAGATGTAATACTTTTGCTGTATAAGGCAGCAATCAGATTCCATCTGCAGTGCCGTGTGGATTTCTGGTTATGTATTCGTAGGAAGGGTATCTACCAAGACAACCATCTGCCTTTATATAGCGCCCTTCACGCAGGTCAGTGTCTCGGAGAGTTTATCTGGGGCGTTTGAGAAGGTATGAGTTGTTGAGGTGTATTAATTGAGTTGCCAAAGTTGGATTGTAGGCAAATTGTTTTCCAGATGGCTTTCGCCAACCTCCACACACACCCTGCCCAGGGGTGAACTCTGTATCTCCATCACCCCAGCCCTCGCCAGACTCCACTGGCTCCCCATCACCGAACAGATCGATTTTAAGATCCTCTCACTCGTCTTCAAATCCCTTCGTTCCCTGGCACCTCCCTACCTCTCCGACCAGCTTTCTCCCCCAACGCACCTCCGTCATTGGTTATTGGTGGCTGCACTTTCAGCCACTACGCCCCGAAGCTCTGGAACACTCTCCCTCAATCCCTCCGCCTTGGCCCCATCCTTCCTGATCTTCAGTTTGTGCTTGAAGACCTTCCTCTATGGTCACCTGCCCCCAGGCCCGGAGTCGTGTTCATCCACTGTCAAGTGCTCTGGGCTCCTACCCTGGGTGAGGGGCGCTAAAACAATGCAAGTTGTTGTGGCTGTTGTCCTAGTGACCTCTTACCTGCGAGAGCAAGTCTCTCCTCTTCCCGTTTCTTTTTCAGGTGCTTGATTTCGAAGTCCCTCTCGTTCAGCAGTTTGTAGAGTCTCCCGTTCTCGTCCAGCAGTTCCCTCACCTGTCCCCGCAGCTCCTCATTCTCGTTTTGCGAGATCCTAAACAAGGGCAAGGCACAGGATTCCCATCATTTCATCATCTCTGCTTCATTCCTACCCTGAGGAATTAAGCTACAGGGAATCCTGTAGCTCAGGGGTTAGAGCGCTCGCCTCAGAAGCGAGAGGACCCGGGTTTGATTCCCGGGCAGGGCAAAACATTGGGCAAGTTTCCTTACTCCACACACACGCCTCTGTTTACCGAGCAGTCAGCAGGAACCCGCTTGTTAGTCGATTGGCATCTTTTCCACGGGTAATAATAACCCCTTCAAAAAAAAATAATGACAATTTGGTCACTCAATCCACGACTGTCTGTGGGACGCTGCTGTGCGCAATTGGCTGCCGCATGTAACCCACAAAATATAGTCAATCCACTTTACAGTATAGTCTGTGAAGTGTTTTGAGACATTTCAATGACGTGAGAAGGTGCTATATTAAATGCAAAGGATTTTATATTTTATGTTCAACCTTTGCATCTTCTGTGAATATCATATTTTATCTAGATTTCTCAGTAAAATGAATACTGTGAGGCTCATAATTGTGAGTTCGGCAACAGAAGCCCAAGCAGGAGAGATAGGAAAGCAAAGTGCTTTAAACAGTAAACATGAGCAGCATCTTCTGGACATCAAAAACATTACAACTTAATAATAACAACAATCCTGGCATTTGATACAGCGCCTGATCACGTCTTCGAGACGTCTCAAAGCGCTTCACAAGGTACACTGTAAAGAGAATTGACTGTACATTTTGTGGGCGAAACGCGGCGGCCGATTGCGCACAGCGGGGTCCCAAATTTCACCCCAAATTTGCCCAGGTTTAACAATCTGAATAACAAGGCCAAAGAAGACCAAGGTCCATCTAGTTCGGCTTCCACCATCCTGTCAGTCGCTTGACATGACCTGTCCCAAACAATATATCCCGAGATATTATTTTCTGGCAGAAAATCGATCTCATGTGTTCTTGAAACAAACAACACTTTCCCATCTACTTCTGCTCCATAGGGAGCCTGTGCCAGAAGTTTACTACTCGGAAGGCATAAAGCAGGAAATGATGAAAGGCCATTTAGTTTTCTTCCCTCCCCAGACTGTATCGTAGACTCTATATTGCTCCGTGCCCTCTGGGAGACAACAAATTAACTTCAAGAAGACAAAGCTGTGTGAAATTGCTCACCGAGACCCAGTGTAATTCAAACAGAAGTTCGGGATATTAATGCAATTGTACAATTCAGCATTTCTTTCCAACAGGTAATTCATCAATACTCCCGGAGGCAATACGATATAATTCGGATTTATAGAGCACTTTTCATGTCGGGTTGATGTCTCAAAGCACTTTAACGCAGTCGTCTGCAAAGGATCTGAAGAGGGTGGGAGGGCTGGAAAGATGAACGAAAGTGCCGTCAAAGAGGCAAGGCGGGCCTCGAGATTGTGGAGGGAGAGGGCCAGTCAGACAGACGTTGCGATGGAGTTCCAGAGAGCGGGGGGGGCAGCGTGGCTAGACTCCAGCGGGTTACCCCCACCGCGCACCCCTGGGGTCCTCAAGCCTTGGGTCGGTGGGAGGCTGAGGAGTTCGGACCGGCAGGAGAGAAGACGTTGGCTTCCCTACAATCCCATACGTCGTGGAGCCCCTGTAGCTCAGGGGTTAGAGCCCTCGCCTCGCAAGCGAGAGAGAGGTCCTGGGGTTCGATTCCCGGGCGGGTCAGGGCGAAACCTCGGGCAAGGTTCCTTGCTCCCGGTTGTTAGTCGATTGGCAGATCGCTTTTCCGGGGGGAGGGGGATTAATAATAATAATAATAATAATAATAAACCTGAAATAAAACAGAACAATAATAATTCACTTCACTGCGCGGCTGTGTGTGTGTGTGTGTGTGTGCGGGCGGTGGGGGGCGGTGGTGGGGGGGGATTGACTTTACGGACGGAGTGAAGTCCCCGTGAAGCGCTTCGAGACGTCTCTCGAAGACGTGACGAGGCGCTGCGTCAAAGGCCGGGATTAATAACTATCATTGTTAGGGATTATTACTGATTATCTATCCCCGGGAGACGGTACGGTCCCGGGAGCGCGGGTTACCTGCTGCCCGCCCGGGGCACGGTCCGCGGGGACGTCAGCTGCAGGTCCATGTCATCGCTGACTGCGAGGCTGAGGGACGGTCCCTCCTGGCCATGGCCATGGCTCTGGCTCTCCATCATCTGCTGCTGCTGCTGCTGCTGTTGTTGTTGTTGTTGTTGTTGCTGCTGCTCCTCCTTCTCCTTCTCCTTCTTCTTGGCCGCCATCGCCTCCATCCTCTTCCGCTGCTGCTGCTGCAGCGCCTGGAACTGCAGCTTCAGGTCCTCCGTCACCTGCTGGTCCCCCTCCATCTGGACCCCCGCCTCGCTTCCTCCCTCCCTCCCTCCCTCGCTCCCTCCCTCCCTCGCTCCCTCCCTCCCTCCCTCCCTCGCTCGCTCCCTCACTCCCTCGCTCCCTCACTCCCTCGCTCCCTCACTCCCTCGCTCCCTCCCTCACTCCCTCCCTCCCTCGCTCCCTCCCTCCCTTCCTCTGTCTCTCCCTCTATCTCTCTCTCTCCCTCCCTCCCTCTGTCTCTCCCTCTATCTCTCTCTCTCTATCTCTCCCTCTGTCTCTCTCCCTCTGTCTCTCTCCCTCCTTCTGTCTATATCTCTCCCTCTATCTCTCTCCCTCTCCCTCTATCTCTCCCTCTCTCCCTCTATCTCTCCCTCTCCCCTCCCTCCCTCTGTCTCTCCCTCTATCTCTCTCTCTCCCTCCCTCCCTCCCTCTGTCTCTCTCCCTCTCCCCTCTCTCTATCCCTCTATCTCTCTCCCTCTATCTCTCCCTCTCTCTCTCTCCCTCTGTCTCTCTCCCTCTCACGCCCTCTCTCTATCCCTCTATCTCTCCCTCCCTCCCCTCTCCCTCTGTCTCTCCCTCCCCTCTCCCTCTCCCTCTGTCTCTCCCTCCCTCTCCCTCTCTCTCCCCCTCAACAGCTTCCAGAAGCCTCTCTGTGCCTGTGTGTGTGTGTGTGTGTGGGTCGCGCGGTTTGTAGCCCAAACACGAGCCCAAAAGTAGCGCCGCCGCCGCCTGTAACGAGCCGGAGACCCCCATCCCCCCCCACCCCCTCCGACGTGAGGGAAGGTCAGCGAGAGGCCAACCCGTGTCAGGGGACGTTATGGTACATATATTTTTTAATAATAATAACAACAAATTAAGGAAAAAAAAGTTTTTTTTCCCGTTCGAAGCGAAACCCGCCCAATCGGGCGTGAAAACCGCCCATTTTGGGCGCGGAAAGGGCCCCGCTTTGGGCGTGAACACCGCCCACTTGGGCGTGAAACCCGCACCCACCCCCTTCCGATGGCTGAGCTGCGACGCGGCGTCTCCTGGCAACGGTAACCGAGGGAGACCGGGCCCCGCCCACTCAGCCGGGAGATTTGGGCGGGGTTCGCGGGTTTCCCGCCCCCGAGTGGGCGGGGTTCGCGCCCAAACGGGCGGTTTTCACGCCCAACAGTGGTGGAGAGACAGAAAGAGGCAGAGGGAGAGGGGGAGAGAGAGAGAGAGAGAAGGGGGTGTGGGGGGGGGAGAGGGATGGAGTGGGGGACCAACAGTGACCGAGGACCTCAATTCCCGGCCTCTCCTCTCCTCTGATACTTGAATAACTAGAAATAATAATCAATCAATGAATCAATCAATGAATCAATCAATGAATCAATCAATGAATCAATCAATGAATCAATCAGTCAATCAATCAAAATATTCCTGGCCTTCGACCCGGCGCCTCGTTCCCCCCTTCGTCGGGACGTCTCAAAGCGCTTCACCGGACCCGCTTGTCGAGCGTAGCGTAGTGACTGTGCGTTTTTTGGTGGGCCAAAGGACGCCCAGCGAGGTCCCCGCCAAGAGTCGCGGATTTTGAAGCGACCAAATTATTACTATTATTATTGTTATTATTGGGGGGGAAAAAAAAGCGATTCCCACCCCCCCCCCCCCCCCCCCAATCGAGTTCCTATTGACCGCCCCAGGCGCGCGGAGTCAGGAAACTTGGCCAATGCAGCCAATTGCATATTATTTATACAGTATTACACTCCCCGTGTCCACAAAGTCCTGTTACCCCCCCCTCCCCACCAATGTGTGTGTTTGTTCTTCTTAAAACACAGCGCACTTGACCAACAACCGACACGTGCGGAAGAACGATTGATCGTTGTGTGTAGAAGTTACCGCGTTGCACTCAGTACGTTCAACGGTATTGAGCGACGTCTGGAAGAGGAACGTGAGCGCCGTCGTTTTCGTGACCAGTCTCGCATCGCTGTCTTGCGACAAAGGGTAAGAGGACTCTGTGAATACCCTGTAGGTGGGATGCACGGAAATCTCTGTTTGGTTTGGATACTCGTAAACACAGGTGACAGGTTTCCGCGCGTCTAAGACACCCGACTGAGACCCCCACCACCCCCCCACCCACAAAAAAAGTATGAGGTGGTGGGCGTAACGGCTAAGCAGGGGTCCTTGCTGAAATGCAAACGTGTGGATAGCGGCTGCAGATAGAATCAGGCTTAGCTCAGATCGAAATCGTTATATTATTTACAGATTACTGACTTATTTTACTATTGTTGAAATATATAGTTATATGATTTATATGACGTATTGCTGAGGGCTGTTATTGGCGCATATTATTTATGACATTTTATTGAAGTGGTTATATTTTTGATTCAGTCGTTATATATACTATTACTACAAAAGGAATTGTCCCGTTCATAAAAAAAAGGGTCGCTTGATTTTATAGAGAGGGGGGGGGATGACATTCCTGATGTGGAGCACGCGTTCAACTCCGTAAGTAAATGACTCTCAAGTCCCCGAGACTATCTGTAGGATTGACGGTAAATTATCTCACGACCCAGACAATCTTTAGGAAGTTGGAAGATAAACTTAGCCGTCACCGTGAAGCTTCTCCGGGGACCTTTTTGAATGGGATAAGTTCTCAGCGGATCCGACTGGAGAGAGAGAGAGAAAAAGAAACACAACCATGTCAATACATCAAACACAACATGGAGCAACTGTCAATAAGAGAAATTCCTCTCTTACAATCTTTAGTATTATAAGCCTTCTCTTTTCACACATCACACACAGTGGCCAGCTCGGTCTAGTTGAGCATTAGACTTCTGGATGCAATACAGCATTATATTTGTATAGCGCCTTTCACGTCGGGAGGACGTCCCGAGGTGCTGGATGAAGGAAATGCCAGCTTGGTCCACTCAACCTTTCATCCAGGATCTTAATAAAATGGGACGCTAGATGTCATTGTATTTTCCTTGGGAAGGGAAGGGAAGCAGCAATATCTCTGGTTCGATGCTGACAACATCCAGCAAAGCAACCCAAGGTATGATTAACCTCCTAGTGAATCTTTGGGAGTTGCAGACATGCCCTCGAGCGCGAGCCCAAATTCTCACAGAGGTTTGGACAAGCGTGACGAACCTGAGCGCTTCCTTGAAACCTGGAAGACGCCAGTTACCACTGAGCTGGACATAGACACAAATAAAGACATACCATAACAGTAAATATCACCTTTATTAGCTGTACAGCAAGACAGAATTTACAGCAACTCGTAAAACATGGCGACAGATATTGCACAAAAATATAATCTGTTCAAGCAAAGTGATAACGGAAGAGAAATATGTGTGGCATGATAATTATCACCTGTAACAATTACCTGTGATATCAACTGTGATAGTTTCATTCCATTTTCCCGGATCCCTATTATTTACTAGTATAGCTGGTCAACAAAGGTCTCTCTCACTAACCTATTAAAAGATTATTTCAATTGGATTTTGTAAAGTATAAGATGATCATTGGCGTTTCAGGCCACAACCATCTTATGATTATTGTTTAAATAAACCTCTCTTTCAAAGGGTGGAAGGTGGAAACAACTTAAATACAGGAGGGCTTTAATCTGGTTCTATCTGGTACCGATATCCTTTGGGAAGGCTGTGAATGAGTGACCTATCCGCCCACTCTCGACCTTGCGAATAATGTTGCGTTTAATCTCGCGCTTTATCGCATTGTCGAACCGTCTCAAAGCACTTTCAAGGATTCACAGTAAAGGGAATCACTGCGTATTGCTAGTCAAATGTGACAGCTAATTTGCATAGATCAATGTCCCACAATAGTTAGACTTTGGACTAGTTGCACCTAAAATTATTGCTCTCGAATTCAAAACTGCAGCCAGGGGGCAGAATCTATAGTTCCGTATCAAAATAATCCCCAATGACTTTGCACAAATACATAGGAACAAGGAAAGCCTGAACCGGAGCCTGTTCTACCAGTTTATTAGTTGCTCGGATCTTTTAATCCCGATACGTTTTGCCGTACTCCTTCATAATAATTAATGGGCATTAAAAGAATAATCCAGGATATGACTGTAGCAAAAATAACCCCACCTAAGATTGTATTCCATTGCACAGGTCGTACATGTTGTAATGGCCCTTTTGCTTATAAGTTTGCTCAAGGGAATTCTTTTAAAATCTTCGGCATTTAAAAATTCGTTCCGAGCGCTCACATTGCCCGGTGAGTACAAGAACATGTTAAGACTTCACACGTGGTCAGACCTTGGATGCTCTTTCCTTGCTGGAAAAGACATGTTCCAAAAGACAGAATTTTCAATTTCCTTAAAATGACACGACACAAAAAACATTGGGTTCCACATCAAGCACCTAATGAAGTCCTCAGCGGGTGAACGGAAGTGCTGTCCGACTCCCAAAGTATAAAATGTGAGAAGATCATTATGATGTTCCAGACCACACACACCCTACCAGACAGGATTCTCCCTCCCGCCCACCTCCCAATCTAAAAGCACCAGCGCAAAAACGTCCTGAACAATAATGCCCTGAACAATTCTGCATCTTTTCCCCAATTAACTACCTGTTAATTGGGGAAAAGATGCAGAATATTCATTATCTGACTCTGAGAAAATATCCCTCCTCCCCTCTCGCAGAACATAAACCGTTGTGGGACAGGTTTAAGATTGCAAAAGGCGATTTCAGGAAATAATTCTTAATGACTGAGGCTGTTTTTTGGGGGTCTGCTGTTGTATTTAATAATCCAGCTTCTTGCTATCATTGAAGAATGGCAGAGTGGGTATTCAGCAAGGATGAGATCAAATGGGCCAAAGGGCCTTCTTCAAACCAACCTCTCATGATCTTCTCACGTCAGCCTTTACCTGCGACACTTTCCAATTTAAACCACAGGCCTCCAGTTTCTCCGCTAACACAGGTATAAATTGTTCATCAGAAGCAGTGCTTTACAGCTGACTGGTTGGATGCGTGACTCCCTTTTCCTTTAGTATCAGAGGTTAGGGTTGCAGGTACAAAAGTCATCATGATTACCCAATGGCCTGTGCTGTGCTGGTGTTATCAACTCTAATCCCTGCTCCACCTCTATATATGTTCGCCCATAGCTTCAACACATTTACTAGCCACATTAACACTTTTTTTTAAAAACACTTAAGCAGCATTAATTTACTGTACGTCTAATCTTTGAAGGAAAGGGAATGTAAAGCTTGAGTGGGCTTTAGGAGCACAATCTGCGCATGATCAGGAATGGATGATTGCTGAAATAAACAATGTCTAAATAACGTGAAGCTGACTGGTTGTCTGGCCAAACACAAGCGAGCCAACATTGAATGCAAGATGGTCACTTTGCCCTCCAAACATCCCCCCCCCACCCCCCACCACCCGACTGACATGAGAGGCTTATAACAACCAAGATCAGTAAAGCTGAGTCAGTAACATTTCCAAAATATCAATTAAAATAGGATCCTCATGAGCAACGATTCACAATCAAAGTCCTCGCATTTGATATAGTCGTGGAAGGGTCTCAAAGAGCTTCACAGGATTTACTGTAAAGTGCATTGACGAGGGATTTTGTGAGTGAACTTGGTAGCCAGTTTGCTCACAGCAACATCTCACGAACGGCCAATGACCGATTTTTGGCCGGGGGGGAATTGTCGGTCAGGACACCAGAAAGCTTTGCTAAATAATTTGATGCGAGGAGCGTGGCGGTTACTGCTACAAAGCACCCCGATGAGGGACATTAATTTTAATTTGGGTGTTTCACTGTAGTTTATCTAGTTTGCAGCCCACCCAAAAAACCTTTTTGGGTGCAATTAGCTGCATCCAGGATTGTGACACGCTATTGAGGGCCGCCCGTGAAACGGTTGATTCCCCCCCCTCCCACCCCCTTATAAACGAGTTTGGTCGTGATTGATTCCAAATGGAACGAAAAAAAAATGTACTCTGTGAAATGTAGTTTGAACAGACAGATTCTCTCAATACCGAGGAGCTCACAAAGTGAGGTACTAGTTTACGTCCGAAACACACAACTGCAACTAAAATAAAAGTTTTAAATATCTGAAGAGCATTTATATAAATAAAGGTGAAAGGAAACAAAAATTCCCTAACACCCCAATATATATGGCATCCCTAATACCAATCTCAACAGTGCAGAATCCAACTTCACTTCTCGGCCACAGCCTTGGCATTCTCTTTTGGCTTCACAATGTATTCTCTGTACATTGAGTAGAGAACTCCTGCAACACAGAAAGAGGGGGGGGGGGGGGGGAGAAAGAAAAAGGTTAACTTGCCCCAGTTTTACCATCTCCCACGATTGCATTTTTAATCCCTTTTACAAATCAAAGATCTGACCCTACGAAACATGTATGTACTAAGGATGAAAAACTACAGTTCTTGCTCGTTTCAGAACGGACCAATTTTAAGCTCCCGGCTCCTTTCAAATCTCTTCACACCCCGAAGAGATGTGAGACCTCACCACCGCTCTGATCTTCTCACACGCCAGTCCTCCACCCCACCACCTTCGCTTAGACGGCACAGGTCTGCTGCACCGTTCCTTGTACCCTCCACAAATGGCAGCCGCGCATTCAGCCACTGTGCTTCCCTTTTGTTTTGCTCCCTCTCTGCCCATCTTCACATCACACCTGAAGACTTTCCGCTTCAACCGTGCCATTAGTTACTTCGCCTCCCCCACCTTTCCGGCTCGGTATCTCGCCACAGCGCTGTTAAGCGCTCAGTGTTGTGAACCGTGTGAAGAGCGTTATATAAATGTAAGTAGCTGTTGCTGTTAAAAGCCAAAGATCGGAACTACTATTACCTATAGTCATTGCTCCCACAACACAGCTTTGAGCTGCCACTCGCATGTGGATGAGATGCACCGACATTTTTGTGTTCCCTCTGCTCTTCAGTTTGAAGAGTCCATAGCCCACCACTGCGGCAAACCCAGCTATACCTGTGTGTAAAAAAAAAAGAGGGAGCTTTGTTACTTCTCTACAGAGCAAGTTGGACCGTTTTCTCTTCACAACAACTTTCATAGGGCATGAAGTGTGGATGAAAGACGGTAGCCAATTGCGCACAGCAGCGTCCCACAAATAACCGTGGATCGAGCGACCGGGTTATTACTTATTTATTTATTTATTTGAAAGGATTATCGCCCCCGGAAAAGTGATCCACCAATCGACTAACGGCCGGTTCCTACTGACTGGTTCCAAACAATCTGCAAAGAAGTTTTATGTTTTGCTGCAATAATACAGTAACACCCAAAATAACTCTGAGCAGTGATTATAAGGAAGTGCTGAGTCACACGGGGTGAGTCACTAGCGAGAGGAACTGCCTAGTCACTCAGGGTCAATTTCGATGCGTCGCCAAAGAAATTCAGAAATAAAGCATTTTCCACAGCGTTTAGAAAAATCTAAAACTCTACCCCAACGCCACCTTATATTTTTTTTTGCAGCGCACATCTTAAAAGTACTTCACAAACAGACACCGGGACCATTCTATAATTCAAGTCAAGTGCCATCACCGCTCAGAGCAGTTTCGAGTGGCACGCCGTCATATTCGGGATCCAAGCAAAATGTAATAGTCCCTTAAAAGAAAAATTGGGTCACTCAGTCCACGACTGTCTGTGGGAGGGACGCTGCTGTGCGCAACTGGCCGCCAAGTTTCGCCCACAAAATACACTTGATTCACTTTACGGCGTATCCTGTGAAGCGTTTTGAGACGTCTCGAAGAGGCGATGAGGCGCTGTGTCAAACGCAAGGATTATTATTATGCTCATTCCCGACAAAAGTTGTAATAATAATAATCCTCGCATTTGGTATAGCGCTTTTCACGTCGGGAGGACGTCCCAAAGCGCTTCACAGAACCTACTGCAAAGTGAATTGACTGTATATTTGTGGGCGAACGCGGCAGCCAATGGCGCACAGCAATGTCCCACAAACAGTCGTAGATTGAAAATGACCAATTTATTATTGTTTTTGATTTTGGAGGGATTATTATTAGGCTCTGTGTGGAGTAAGGAAACTTGCCCAAGGTTTGGCCCTCTGCCTGGAATTGAACTCAGGTCTCTCACTTGCAAACCGAGTGCTCTAACCACTGAGCTACAGGACTCCAAAGGACTCCGAAGTAGCTTTACTAATGCCTGGTAATTGAACACTGAAACTCCAGAAGGAAAGTACGTGCACATCACGCGCACGTCGGCTTACGTCACTGTCGGGGTGCCAGCAACTCTACTGCGCGTCCAGCAATTGCTTGTTCAACATCATTGTCTCATTTCTTTTCATTCGGCAAAACAATAATTTGCATCTCAAAGCACTTCACTCACCGACCAGTGGAAATAATTTCTCCCTCTGGGCTATTGTGGCCGAGCGGGAACCTGAGCTGGGGGTGGGGGGGGTGGGAGGGGGGGGGGTGAGGGTGACAGTCAGGAAGATGGAGATTTTTCAATTGATCAGGGGTTTTGATGGTCGAGAGGGAGATGTTATTTCCGCTGGGCGGTGAGTCAGTGACTGGAGGGACTGACTGGAGGGCATGAACTTAATGCAGCTGACAAACAAGGAAATGGGATGAGATGGAGAATTTTTTTTCCCACCCACACAGAGTTCCTGGAATATGGAATCCCCTGCCTAGAGTGATGGTTGAGGCATAATCCATGTTGGCTTTCAAAAGGGACTAGAGAGATGTCTAAAAAAAGGAGTGAGCTACAGGGGTACAGGGAACAGGCAGGTAAATGTATGGCCAAAGGGAAAAATCTTTGGTATTATTGTGTGAGGTTTAAATCCAAAACGAGGAGACATATGAAAAGCAACTTACCAATAGGAACAAATGGGGACTCCTTGGATTTTCTGAGAAGTTTTGATGTCTGGCTGTCATCGTTGGTAAAAGTAGGAAGGATGGCTGTGTTGCTTGAAGACATGATTGCTGTGAACATTGAAATGAAGTGAATTTGAACAGTGAACACGAGTGATCTTAACAGTTTTAACAATATATACATTTAGTACAGAGACTTTTACATCGGGAGGATGTCACAGGCTACACTATGAAGTGAGGTGACTGTGTTTTTTGGCGGGTGGTCTTAAACAGCGCCCTAGACGTGTGGCAGAGTCTTGGGGTGCTTAACAGTAACAGAGCCTAACACCGAGCCGGTTTGGGGGTGGGGGGGGGGAGGTGGGGATGGTAGGAAGTGACTGTAAACACGCTCAAAGTAGAATATCTTCGGGCTTGATCTGGAAATAAAAGCGGAAGGAGGGGGCAAGGCGGAGGGATTGAGTGCCCAAGCTTTGGGGTATAGTCGCTGAAAGTATGGCCGCTGGTGATGGAGGGGAGGAGACGAAGGAGTAGGGAGAAAGCAGATCGTAAAAGTAGGGAGGTGCCAGCGGCCTGAACCGATTTGTATACGAGTGAGTCACATATCACGGGAGTGAAACCGTCTCCTCGTCAATCACTTTGCAAAGTTGGATCCCTGCACTGCCCTGAGGTATGTGTGACGAGTTGCTTGAGCACCTGGGTTCGGTTTACAGGAATATCTCATTGCGTAATACTGGAATAAGGAACAAGGAACACAAACTGAGTCATTTGTGGGGGAATTTACGTGTTGTAATTAATAGTCGAGTCATCGGGGATAGGTTACGCCACAGAACTACAAAGTCCCGATTGATTTCAAGAACCTCATAATTGCTTATAAATGAATTAACGCTCTAACGTTTAAATGTAATCCCTATTCTCTGCTTACACCCCACTCCACTACCCGCCCTTTTGCTGCTCTGCAAATGCAGACTGCGAATTCACTGACAAAATCATTAAAGAATAATAATCCTTGCGTTTGGTATCGTGACAATGTCAAACGGCCTCAAAGAGAGTCACAGGGAATTGCGGTTAATAATAATAATAATAATAATAATCCTTGCATTTGATATAGCGCTTTTCACGTCGGGAGGACGTCCCAAAGCGCTTCACAGAACACACTGTAAAGTGAATTGACTGTATATTTGTGGGCGAACGCGGCAGCCAATTGCGCACAGCAATGCAGTTAAACTAACAACTGTGCGTCATGTGTGTGTGGTGTGTGGCGCGTGTGTGTGTGGGGGGTGTGTATAGGCAAATGCAGGAGTCAATCTATGCACAGCAATGTCTTACAAACAGCTGATAGACTTGAGCAATTTATCTGGAGGCACTTACTGACTTGTTGCAACATACCCACTGACTGGCAATGAATCGACGGGCATTTATTTAATCGGGTTTCCTTCCTGTTTCACTCAACATTCGCACGTTCGAAGTTAAATCTACGCTAACCAAAGATGTACGCAAGAACAGACCGCAAATCTTCCAGACACATTCAACTCAGTACAGCAGGAAATACGTGACGAGGTGTTTACGAAGGGGGAATTTACTCGAGGGGCAAGATTTTAAGAAAAGATCCAAGGCTGCGGAGTTGGGAGGAGGCGGACCTTAGATTTCAGATCGGACATTAACATCGGAGGTCCCATCTACGTGTTCAGGTGGACATTAAAGATCCCGTGACACTATTCAAAAGGAGAAGGGAGTTCCTCCAACTAGGCTTTGGCCAAACCATCCCCCAAATAAAATTGGCCATTCATTTCATGGCATCCGGGTCTACCTACAGAAACACCACATTAAAACCCTGTGAAGGGCTTTGGGCCTTCGCTCATGTAATAAGGCAGTATATTACATACAAGAATCATCATGGAGTGAACTCAGAACGCGATACTTTCAACAGTGAAACAACTCATCAAAAGGATTGTGGGTTTAGGAGGTGAACGGCAAATGGAGGACAGAGTAGATAGAGGAAGCAATATTTCTTTACAGGTGCAATCGACAGGAGGAAATGGGGTTAGTCACCAGGAAGGAGGAGGGGGGGGGGAGGGCTAGAACAGGAGATGTTAATAATAATAATCCTGACATTTGATACAGCGCCTTTTCCCGTCAAAATATCTTTCCTACAAAAGGCGGTGACTGTCTCTTTGCAGGTGACCCGTAGAAATTTACCACCAACGAAGGAAGCCGTTCCAACCCATCGCCACAACGATCCTCGGGTGTGATGGCCCGCGCCCGTCACGCCGGGAGGGCATCTCAAAATGACCGGGCGCAGCTTGGCGAGAGCCAAGGCTCGGGGGTGGGAGGGTGGGCGGGGGAGCCCGGAGGGTGGCGTTGGGGTAACTGCTGGGGGTCTAACCGTAGGGAGCACTGCTCCCCCGCTTTGAGACGCCTCGACCACACACGATGAGGCGCTCAATTAAACTCAGAAGTTTCCCTTAGGATCGCGTGAACTCAAAAGTCCAGACTTCGCTTAAGACCGTGTCATCTCAACAGGACCCCCTCCGCCCTATGCCGAGGGGAGGGGGGGGGGGGGGGAGGGGTGGGGGTGGGGGGGGGGTCTTGAACCCACAACCTTCAGACTCAAGAGGTGGGGGTGATATTGAGGCTGACGGTCACCCTGACAGAGAGAAGGGCCTGAACCTAAACCCCCGGGTGTGTGTGTGTGTGGGGGGGGTGGGGTGGGGGGGGGGTGGGGGGGGCTCTGGGAGGGGTGACCTCACCTTTAAGGGACACACAGCAGCTGAGGTCAGACACACACACACACACACACACAGGCACTGGGTCACCCTCCTCACACTCAAACACCATCGTGTCTCTCTCTGTCTCTCTCTCTCTGTCTGTCTGTCTCTCTCTCTCTGTCTGTCTGTCACTATCTCTCTGTCTATCTGTCTCTCTCTCTCTGTCTGTGTCACTATCTCTCTGTCTATCTGTCTCTCTCTCTCTGTCTCTCTCTCTGTCTGTCTGTCACTATCTCTCTGTCTGTCTGTCTCTCTCTCTCTGTCTCTCTCTCTGTCTGTCTGTCACTATCTCTCTGTCTGTCTGTCTGTCTCTCTCTCTGTCTCTCTCTCTCTCTGTCTCTCTCTCTCTGTCTCTCTCTCTCTGTCTGTCTGTCACTATCTCTCTCTCTGTCTGTCTCTCTCTCTCTGTCTCTCTCTCTGTCTGTCTGTCACTATCTCTCTGTCTGTCTCTCTCACTCTGTCTCTCTCTCTGTCTGTCTGTCACTATCTCTCTGTCTGTCTCTCTCTCTCTGTCTCTCTCTCTGTCTGTCTGTCACTATCTCTCTGTCTGTCTGTCTCTCTCTCTCTGTCTCTCTCTCTGTCTCTCTCTCTGTCTGTCTGTCTCTCTCTCTCTCTCTGTCTGTCACTATCTCTCTCTCTGTCTGTCTGTCTGTCTCTCTCTGTCACTATCTCTCTCTCTCTGTCTGTCTCTCTCTGTGTCTCTCTCTCTCTCTCTCTCTGTGTGTCTCTCTGTCTGTCTGTCTGTCTGTCTGTCTGTGTCGATGTGTGTGTCACTCACCCGCTCCGCCGGGAGGATTGAGGCGCCGCTGCTGTCGGTGTCGGTGTCGGTCGATGACTGAGCGCAGCCGCACGGACCAGACCAGCCCACGCTGACGTCACGCCCAGGCCGGCCCGCCCGCGCGCCGACTCTCAGACGTCACCAGTGCCCGCCCACAGTCACGTGCGCGTGGCGCAACAGCCCGCCCCGCCCCGCCCCGCCCACCCGCCCGCGCAACAGCCCGCCCCGCCCACCCGCCGCCGCCGCCGGCGCTGACGTCACCGCGCAGGTTGCCGGATTGGGCGGGGCTTTGACGCCGGAAACGAAACGGGCGGTTTTTTTTCATGTTATTAACGCCCGAGTAGGCGGGTTTCACGCCCGATTGGGCGGGTTCCCTCCGCCCCGCCCCCCTCCCGCCTCTGGCTGTCCTGCGCGTGAGCAGCGAACGGTTTTGACGGTTTTTTTTTAAATATTTAAAGGCGACGACAGAGCAGAAACACAGAGAGAGAGAGAGACGGTACCGGGACCGCGCCTCAGGGCACCGACAGCACATCTCACACACACACACACACACACACCAACAGCACTCACACACTCACACACACAGACATATAATAGTCATATAATAATCATTTAATAATCATAGGTACTATAATCATATAATAATCTAATCATTTAATAATCATATAACCATATAACAATCATATTAAATCACACATAACCATATAATATCATATATAATCATTAAATCATATATAATCACATAATATTCATATATAACCATATACTAATCATATATTCCCATAAAATATTCATATATAAACACATACTAATCACATATAACCATGTAATCATTATATAATAATATAATAATCATAATATAATGATACAATCATATAATAATACATAATATAATAATTATAATATATCATATAATCATATACAACAACAACAACAACAACAGGATTACATTTGTATAGCGCCTTTCATGTCGGGACGACGTCCCATATAATAATAATATAATAATATATCATGTAATATATCATGTAATAATATAATAATAATACAATCATAGAATAATAATATAATAACATAATACTATAATATAATAATATAATCATATATCATAATAATATGGTATAATAATATAATCATTTATCATTATAATAATATGGTGTAATAATATAATCATATAATAATATATAATATAATATAATAGTATGATAATATAATCATAATATAATAATAGAATAATTATAACAATAATATATGTTATAATAGGACATAATAATATAGTAATTATAGAATAATGATATAATAGTGATAATAATATAATAATAGAGTAATAATATAAAAATCTATAATATAGTAATGTGGTAATATTAGTAATAATAATATAATATAATAATAATATAGTGGAGTCCTGTAGCTCAGTGGTTAGAGCACTCGCTTTGCAAGTGAGAGACCTGAGAGGGCGAAACCTTGGGCAAGTTTCCTTACTCCACACAGAGCCTAATAATATTCCCTCCAAAACCAAAACAATAATAAATTGGTCATTTTCAATCTACGACTGTTTGTGGGACATTGCTGTGCGCAATTGGCTGCCGCGTTCGCCCACAAATATACAGTCAATTCACTTTACAGTGTGTTCTGTGAAGCGCTTTGGGACGTCCTCCCGACGTGAAAAGCGCTATATCAAACGCGAGGATTATTATTATTATTATGATTATTATTATATAATAATGACAATCTTTGCATTTGAGACAGAGCCTCATCACGTCTTCGAGATGCGACGTTTCAAAGCGCTTCACGGGATACGCTGTCGAGCGTAGTGACGGCACTTTGTGGACGAACCGCCCATCGCGTTCAGCGACGTCCCCACAAACAGTCGTGGTTTGAAGTGACCAAATTATTATCATTATTATTATTATTATTTTTTTTTGAAGGGATTTATTACTGTGAGGTAAACCTGAGACCCCGACCGGGACCGCCCGCCTTCTCCCACCTCCGCCACATTGCCCGTCCACCGCTCGTACCTCACCCCAAACGCAGCCGAAACGCTCGTGCATTGCGCTTGTCACCTCGCGCCTGGATTACCCCTCCAACGCTCTGCTCTCCGGTCTCCCCTCCCTGTCCTGTCCTGTCCTTTCCGACCTCCTCACTCCCCCCAATCCACCACCCGGTCAGCGCCTCCGCTCGACTGGCCCCCGGCTCCTGCTCGTCCCTCGGCCCCTCCGCCCCACCGTCGGAGGTGGCGCTCTCCGCCGCTACTGCCCCGACGTTCTGGAACGCTCTCCCTCAATCGCTCCTCTCTCCCCTCTTTCAAGTCCCGCCTGAAAACCTTCCTCTCCGACCGGAAGAATGGTCCAAAAAGAAAAGAAATCTTGACCTGTAACCCAATCTCCTTGCCCACGTCTCCCTTCGCAGTGGCCCGTACCTGAAAGAAAGAAAGGTCCCTGTCACCCCCACCCGCTGCTCCTGAGGGGCCCTGAAACAGAAAGGGAAAAAGAAACACGGTGAACTCGAACCAGACCCTGAAAAGGGTTAAGCTACGAGGAAAGGCGGCGTAAGCTTGGATTGTATTCCCTTGAGTTTGGAAGGTTGAGGGGTGATTTGGTTGAGGTGTTTAAGACGATGAAGGGATTCGATAAGGTATTTCACGTAGAATTACACAGAATATGCAGCACAGAAACAGGCCATTCTATGCCGGTGTTTACGCTCCACATGAGCCCCCTCCTGCCCTTCCTCAACTAAGCCTTCAAGCCTAACCTTCTATTCCCTTCTCCCTTATGTACGTATCTCGCTACCCCGTAAACATCTATGCTGCTTGCCTCAATTACTCCTTGTGGTAGCGAGTTCCACATACCCACCACTGAAGATGTAAAGATGTTTCTTCTGACTTACCTATTTTGACTATTTTGCATTGATGGCTTCTGGTTTTGGTCTGCCCCACAGGAGGAAACATCTTCCCTATGTCTACCCTATCAAAACCTTTCGTATTTTTAATGACCTCTATTAGGTCACCCACCCCTTACCCACCTCTGTTCAAGAGGAAAGAGTCCAAGGTTGTTCAGCTTTTCCTGATAGGTATGACCTTGCAGTTCCAAAGCATCCTTGTAAACCTCCTTTGCACCTTCCTCAGTGCCTCTATATCCTTTCTATATAATATGGGGACCAGAACTATACACAGTGCTCCAAGTGTGGTCTAACCAAGTATACGTTTAGCATAACTTCCCTGCATTTCATTTCTATTCTTCTAGAAATGAACCCCCACATTTCTATCCCGCTAGAAATGAACCCAACACTTGGTTTGCTTTGTTATATGGCCTTATTAACCTGCGTCGCTACCTTTAGCGATTTGTGTATCTGTACCCCTAGATTACCCTTTGCTCCTCTATCCCGCTTAGATTCTTATTTTCCGGGCAGTATGTGATCTCCTTCTTCCTCCTACCAAAAATGTACCACCTCACGCTTATCTACATTGAAATTCGTTTGCCAATTAAATGGCCACTCAGGAAGTTTGTTGATGTCTTGTAATTTGTTGCAGTCCTCCTCGCCCCCTCCAATTTGGTGTCATCCGCAAGTTTTGAAAATGTACCTTCGATCCCCGAGTCCAAATAGTTAATATAAATGGTGTATTATAACATTATAATAATAAAACACTCTAATGCCGTCCGTTTGCTCGGCGCCCGGCCTAAACTGAGCTCTCGGTAAGTGCTGTACTATTCAAAATTAACAATTTTTAATATCTTAAACATATCGACACGGTCAGGAAATCTACTGATATATCGATCCGGGTCATTTCACAAAATGAGTCTTGTCAGTAGCACCGATCAACCCGTCATCATTTTCGGCAGAAATTCACCAAATTTCTCTGCGACTTTCCATAAAATTTATCAAACGCCCCTCAATATTTGGCAAATATTTCCGCACTTTGCTATTGGGTCAGGGCATGACGCGGGTCATGACTGACTGACGCACAATGGCCCCAATGCATCACAAAGCGAAGCGGACGGGTCACACATCGGTATAAAAAAGCTGCTCCACAACGCCACCGGCAGTCAAGAGACACGGTTGAAGCTGAATCATGGCGAGGGGTCGTTCCCACAGGAGGAAATCAGGAAAGGGACGGAAACTTGGGAAAAAGCGAGGACATCGCCGCCATCACCGCCATCACCGCCGACGACGAAGTGGGAAACGGAGGCCGCTACAACCGTAAACAACAGCCAGAACATTGAGAGCAATGGACAACAAGACACATTTTGGACCCAACACATGTCTTCCTCTCCTCCCGAGGGATCAAGAGTAGAGTCTTGACTACCATGAACAAACAAACACTGCACCCCAAGTCCTGTCTCGTCTTCTATCCTCACTGTGAGACTGTCTCCCCAACCCCCCCCAATCCTCCGTGGGACCCTCGTGTCCACTACTCCTCCTCATACCTTGTTGATTTGTTGTCAGTGAATAAAAGCCTCAGCAAATGATGCTTGAAAAAACAATGTGTGTTTACAGTTTCTTAAGACATTTGACTTAAACACCAGATGAGATACTGTAGATTTGTTAATGAGATGTTAATGATCGCCGGTAATAAATCAATGTGGTGGAATTTCTTCTGCATTAACTGGGCTAAACAAGGGAGGTACAGGAGGCCATTTGAGCCAATGTGCCTATGTCGGCTCTTTGGAAGATCTACCCAATCAGTCCCACTCCCCCGCTCTTTCCCCGTACCCCTGTAAATGTTTTCTTTTCAAGTACCTATCTAATTCTGTTACTGGATCTGTTTGCACCACCCTTTATTATTATTTAGTGTGGTGACTGTGACCCTTCGGGGGAACGATATAATAATTATTGTGTTTGATAAAAGCGCCTTATCGTGTGGTTGAGAGGTCTCAAAGTGCTTCAGAGTATGTTTGACTATATTTTGTGGGCGAAACGTTGGTAGCCAATCGCACCGAGCAGTGTCCTGCAAGCAACCGAGAGACCCGGGTTCGATCCCCGGGCAGGGGGGGAAATGTTGGGCAGGTTTCCTTACTCCACACACCTCTGTTTACCGAGCAGTAATTCGGAACCCGGTTGTTATTCGATTGGCGGATCCGTTTTTCTGGGCGTACTAATCCCTTCAAAAAATAATAATAATAATAATAATTTGGTCGCTCAATGCACGGCTGTTTGGGGGGGTGGGGGGGACGCTGCTGTGCGCAACCGGCCGCCG